AAATTCAGTTGAGCTTATATTAGAACTGCCTGGCATAAGCTTTCACCTGTCACTACTGTTAGAACTGATCAACATACAACTTCTTCTCAAAACGTCATAAATTTACAAATATACATAAATACTCTTATATTGTCTAATTAGTTATCTTTGATTGTAGGAGCTTTCCCGTAAACAAGTAAAGGCAATTGATAAATAACGCAGTTATCCGTTAGAAGGTGCTACTTCAAAGTGTATCTCAATACAACATCTCTGAACCAAAGAGAGAAGTAAAGTGCAGAATCGTCAGATATCCACAATGGATTGATCACTTCAGCTAAAATACGAGATATAAATACCTTTAAGCATCTTACGTAGTGTAAGATTGAGACTGACGGTGCCTTTCTTTGAAGAAAGGAGATAGAGAAGAGAAACATTGGGATTGCTCAGCTGTCCGCCATTTTGAGAGTTATCTAGTGCCAGTCTCCACGCTAAATTGTCCGACCGATGACGAAAATGTTGGACACTCTACTGTTAGTCGTTAGTGCAAGCAAAATATCTTTATCGTAAATAAATTTAGTTACCGGTATAAAATGGTCAATCGTTAGTGCTGAACCCCAATCGTTTGTGTTTTTGCAACAAACGTCGTTGTAAAGCTCTAAATATAAATCACTGGTGTTCTGAGGCATAGGCAGATCGATAGAGAAAAAAAGATCAATCGTATTTTTAAGCATCAATCGGTAATTTTAAACCTTTATTGCTTATGTTACTTTTAAAATACAGCAATCATAACAATGTCAATCACCGGTATTGCCACCAATCGTTTGTGAGGAGTAGAAATATATCGTTACCGATCCTATATTAAACCATTGAAAAAGGGATTTATTATTCCACTGTTATTTCATTTTATGGTATTTTGGTGTTTAGTTTTCGAAGCAAATCATACGGCAGTATTTCAACATCTTATCGATCGCATGGGTTTTAAGTATTCAAAACAATCGAACTTTTAATCGCTTATTCTTCTGCGCACACCCGTTGGTTCCAGGCCTTTTTCACTGCAACCGGAAGTAACTGTTGTGAGCAGCAAGGCACACATAGGGCGAGTTGAAATAACACTTCCCCAGGACGCTCTCTCCAGTTAGTCAGTGAAAGAACTGCAGCTCAAGAAGCCCGTTCAGACTCCCCCCCTCCCCCAGATCAACAGCGTATCTGGACCATGTTGTTAGAGAGGAGCCCATTTTCCGGCGCTTCAGGCTGGGCTGAGATTCGCTACTAGTAAAATAACCTAAATAGACTTGTGCTGTTGATTCTAATTCGCAGGTCTTCTCTCTATAAATTACAAATGTCTCTGTAAAAAAGTTTAGAGAATGAAGTGTTACATCAATAAAAGATCTTCCATCTGATAAACTTATTTCTCCTTTAACCAATAGTATATTGGTATAACTGTAGGGAGACGTTACACGTTAAAGAATTTATAACTGTCAGAGTCTGAGAGTGAAAGAGTTGAAGCAGACACACGATGCATGAACGGGAAATTCTGAAATAAAAAGAACAAAGATGCATTGTTATTCTATTTAAGGAGGAGTAGCTAGAAAGCGGTATAATTCTGTTTGAACCAATTTAAATCATCAACTCAGTTGATAAAACCAAATTATCTTACTACAGCCCCCAGCGACGCAGCACCACGGTCTCTTTAGAAACTCAATCGCTATAATCAAACCTTCCTGTTGAATCGCTGCAAAGTAACGACTTCTTAGCTTCCCTCCTGTACACAACATCCTCTTTCTTTAAGCTCACGCGGACTCATTTCCCGAACAACGCCTTGCAATAAAGCCTGCGGTTTTAGTAGCACAAAGCAATGGGGTGTTTCCTAATCATACCGAAGCCAAAGTTGGATACATCAAGAGAAGACTTTATGACACATTTTTAATGGGGAAAACAAAGATTGATGTATCCAGTTTTTAAAAATTTCTCCTTTTTGTACGGCGGTATGTTTTCCTTCTCTTTTGTTAACGGCGTCAACCAGTTGTCTCTACATACTGTCTCTACCTTTAGATAGTAATAACGAAGAGGTCTGATGTGCTTAAGGGGAGAAAGCGAGCGTGAAGCCACACACGCTAGCGTTGATGGCTTCAAAATCCCAAATTGAGGGCAAAAAGTTGTTTCGTTTTAGCTGCTTCCTTAGCAAAACGAGCTAAGAGAACTTGTAAATACTATCCTTGGTCATTCGAGCTTATTCCCGTTTGTATCCTCAAATAATTGTAACATGCCCTTTGATGTTCTGAAAAAACACATTTCAGATTGAGACTAAGTGCTTTCTGCCTCAGGAAACAATTATTTGAAATTTATATTCTAGATAACCAGGTGAGACTGTTGTACGTGATCCTGAATTGAAGTTCGCGCTAACCTGACAATTAAAGAGATTTGAGTGTCATTCGATTCAAATTTATTCAATGGCCTGAAATATAGATATATAGTGAATATGACAATGAAAAAGCTCCAATCTTTAACACTGAACGTGTTGTTTTAAGATATTAGCCATGTGTTAAGATAAAATACGTATTGCTTTAAATGTCACGAAGCAGTTACATCATGCTATATAAAAAACAATCGCTCGCTCTAAAAACCGAAAAGATTTACCTCGTGATTGATAGTTACATTGAGAAACAATTAAAAAAGAAATTTCAATTGAAATGTCAAGTATGTCATCAACAGTCAATATAGATTGATAGAAAAGGTTTCAAAGAAGCCCTTCTACAAAGTTCTCTTGCAAATAATTAACTCCACTTCTGCCGTCTTTTCGACCTAATATGCAAATTGTGAAGAGCGAAAAAGAAAAAGAAACTGAAAAATTCGTAGAAAGACGTCAAGATGAAATCTAGAGGTTTCGTGTTCACTGAGATTTATTTCGATTGATTATCACACTAATTTATTACATTTATGAACCAAGTATTTATAATTTCCTTTAATTCGAGGATGTAAATTGCATATTTCATTTCGCAGTTCGCAGGATAACACCTTTTCAAACAGATTGAGGAACTCCCAAAGGATAAAGAAAAACAGGTGAGATTTCCCACAAAATTATTTACTCGGGGGAGCTTGTTTACAATAAAAGCAGTTTTAGATGTTTATTAAGTATTGGAACTAATGTGACTAGCCCAGTGTTGCGCTGGCGGGAACGTGCAATCACTTGAGTTCTTTCGCCGATAATTGTTGATGCTCTACCACACTTGGGGGTTATCTTTTCATGACAAGGCTTTGCAAACAAAGTATCAAAATCTTGTTATAGATTCTAATTACCTCCAGTGACAGTCCTGGAGCCTCAAACCGCCGTCAAAGTGGCTTACATTTGTAATAACACTCTGAGATGAGAGTTTTCAATGCCAACAATTGATATACATGGTCGAAGATTATTGTATCCGGATAGGGAAGGAATAAAAGAAAGGATTTAATCAAAAAGAACCGCCACAATATAGTTTGCGGTCAACTTTCGATTCACGCGGTCCGAATTTTCATCGCACTAGAAAATTTTCTTGCCCTTAAGGGATCAGGAAACTCAGTACACGTCTTAAAGACATCTAAAAAAAAGTTGCAAATTCTGAAACAGAATATCACATTCAAAATCATGTAAATGTTGATTTTATTGGTTTAGAAAAGTTTCCGGCAGAAGCCGGCATATTCTTTTTATTCCAAAAGTATTTAAGTTTCGTTGTAATTTGATTTTTATCTGTCTTCAGTCTCTACGAGAAGAAACCAAATTGTATGTTCATGTGGTGAAGGCTCAACTAATCGCTTCAAAAGCGAAATATTCTCCAAAAGAAAAAAAAAAGGGGAACTCTTGCCTCTGACGAGCTGAAACGATCTCCGAACTACAAGTGAACGTAAGTTGATGGTGACCGATAAAAAAACATCAGCATCATTTTAAAGTCACGAAAATCCATTTTCATCTAAAAGCTGACAGGATATTGACCACAAAGAGAAAAAGAAAATATCCAGCTCTTTGGCATTAAAGTGTCACTGGTTAGAAACCAAATCATGAATTTGAACAACAGCACGGCCATAATGGTAGCTGCCAATACAGGTAGCTCGCCGGCGATTTTGTCGCACAATTTCTACCTTGTTACAGCAACTTTGCTTATACTTATCGTCATTGCCGCCATTATTGGAAACATATTGGTGTGCGTGGCTATTCTGGTCAATAACCAGCTGCGTTCATCACCCACAATGGTTTTCATTTTTGCCTTGGCCGTGAGTGATTTGTTGACTGCGTGTCTCTCAATGCCTTTTGATGTCGACCAGCGACTCACTAACTTCAAATGGACCTATAGCGAGGGGCTCTGTCAAGCATGGACAACTGCGTACCTTACCACCGTGCCCTCGTCTATTTGGAACCTTTTGGCGGTAAGCGTTGACCGGTACAAGAGCCTTAAGGACCCTTTGAGCCGCTACAGGCAAAGCCCCTTTATGACGCGTAAGCGGGCGGCTCAAGTTGTTGTGCTCCTGTGGATTTACTCAGCAGTCTTCGCTCTAATACCTGTCATGGGATGGAAGTACCACTCTGTAAGCGTCAGAAATAACTCGTGTTACTTCAACATAACAATAACCTACTCCATACTGAGTTCATTCGTCAACTTCATCTTCCCACTCCTGGTCATGTGCTTTTTGTATTTCAAAATATTTATGATAGCTCGAAACATAAACAGCGAAACATTTTCCCAACTCAACGGTCGCTCATGGGGAAGATTATCCAACGAAGCTACTTCAACAGAAGATTTTTGTAAAATCACCAGGCGCACCAAGCGATGTGACAAGAGATTCAAACAGAACATTAAAGCTGCTAAAAACATCTTGATCATAGTTGCCGCATTCTTCCTTTGTTGGATGCCTCACACGCTTCTTAGCTTGACCTTCATTTTCCACGGGAAAGAGTTGGCACACAGAATTCCCATGGAACTGTTCACAGTATTCTTGCTCCTGGGATATTTGAACTCCGCTCTAAACCCACCTCTGTATACATTCCACAACAAGCGGTTTAAAGAAACCTACATAAAATGCCTCGGGCTCAAGAGACAAAAGACTCCGCCTCCAAATCGATTCTCGAACGTCACGGCCTTGAGCAACATCGACTCGAACCATTCGGGGTCTCCGACGCCAAATACAGACAATGAAAACAATATGGAAGAACTTATTCACATGGACGAAAACAGTGTATAAAGTCAAAGTTCAGCTCGCGGACATCAGAATCCTGGCCTCGAATGATCAGCGCACCTAAACAGCCGCCCAAACAAGGGATTGTATTACAAATCCTCGAGGTTCTTTCACTGGTTCTGCGCCAGAAAATTACTTAATCAGATAAACGCATTCGAAACAAGATTTCGTGTTTCACGTATTATTGACATTATTTGATAGTTTTTTTTTAAACCAGATATCAAAATGAGCTGCTCTTAACGTTGACTCCTCAAGAGACGAGCTTTTAGTGTTAGAGAACCATACTAAAACTTTTCAAACGGAAAGTTTTTAAAACTCTCCATTTAGTACTATTTTTCATCCACCTTGTGGGAGAAAGACAGTCTCAACTGGAAATGTATAACGACACTCTCTTTTGGAAGAGCTAAGTATATAACATGAGGGTGGAATTATTATTTAATCGACTTAGACACGGTTAAAAACGTCACTGATATTCGCCTTTGCAATGAAAAGTAGATATGGCACAGTTGCAAAAATGTATCATCAACAACAGTCACTTTACGTGCATAATTTGCTGATAGAGGAATTAAATTCTCCAATAATTGCCGATATTTCCTACGCCCTCTCAGCTTCCAGATATACATTTAGAAGACATCTTTCAATTTTTGTCATTTAAGCCCGACAAAACGTTTTAAAAGATTTCTCATGGTTGCTGTAATATGGGCGGTTCTTTTACTGTTATTTACACAAAAAAATACGAAAAAAACACATATTTGTTATTCTAGCCAGAGTTACTTTTTATCTGTAATCATACCGCCCCCTGGAGCTCCCATTAGTAAGATAAATATAAAAACAACCCATGTTGCCAAATTATAATGCTGAATTCAAGCTTTTCCCTTTCTATATAGGCTCAAAATTGAACGAGTCTAGAAATCAGGACCAATAGATCGAAGGATTTTGATAACTTTGCGTCACTCGCCACTTAAACGCGATATCGATTTGTGTTTGATAGGAGTGCGTAGGCTGTGGTTTAATTTCAGCCTTGCTGTTCAAATCGTTTTAAAAATTTATTTCAAATCATCAATCATACATTACTGTGTAGGGAATCAAGAAAACTGAAAGCTAGGATAGAAATTTGAACGAAACTTATACAGATTTAAACAGAAATCCTCTTTACTCTTCATGTACGAGACGTTTAGATCACTTTATATAAAAATAGATTTATTAGTAGTTACTATGAATCTGATCTATGAAAAGACCTATACTTTTTCTCACACAAACTCAAAGGAAACCCGTCTTAATTACTTTTTTTGCTCAATAAAAATGTCTGCTAAAATGCCTCCTAAAATTACGATGGGATTCATGTTTTGAAACCGTTAGTGTTCGAATCAATATAATCAAACAGAGACAATGCTGAAAACCATCTGTTTTGCGCTGCTTCCTGAATAAAAAGGCGTATTTAATTGATAGTGCACTTCAATAGATAAATTAGAATGTAAGATTTCATAACAGGAAAAACGCTTTTGGAAAAGACTTTATAAACTTCTCAGGAAAAAGAAAAGAACACATACTGAGACAATGAAAAATTGTAATTTTGCTTTACACAAAGATATTGCCTTCTGAAACACATAAATCTGTGACTGAGTTGTGGGCTACGTTGTATATAAAATTTTTAGAAGGAAATTCAGCATGGAATGTTTTTCGTACTCATAAAGAGATTTATGATAAACTTGTCAACGATAAAGCCACTTTGTATCTGCGATGCCACTCCTTGCATAGTATAAATCAGGGTTTGTTCTTCCTAATTCTAAACCAGTTGGTCACCAACCTCATGAATAATGATCTTAAAGTCTCGAAACTTCGATGGTAATGCAGTTTTTTTTACCTTAATAGCTTTTCGCACTTTTCTTGTCTAAAAAACAGCTAATGATTTTAATTTGAACCAATGATAAACTTCTTATATGTGTACATATAAACTCTCCCACCATATCCATATAAAACAGTGGCATCATATATTGTCCAGTGTGCGAAAATAATAAAATTTCTTCGCGGTCTACACTGTGTAAGTACTCAGTACTTAGAGGACAAACTTAGTTTTATCGACTTAAGAGTTAAATATTCCATTTTAATTTATTGTTTTCAATGGACGGACGTGTATTTCCAGTTCAATTTTCACATTAATTCTTTATCGCAACTGTTACAATAACTTTTATCTCTGTGTTTTGGTTGTATGAATAGGGGCTGGACAGGCTTTCTTGTCTCTGTGGCTAAAAATCCTTATTTTTGAGACATTCTCTGACTGAACCAAGATATTTTACTCTGAGTCATTAACTTCGCTGGTTGGGTGCATTATCTAGCTTGTGTTGTCATTTAAGGCTGTTTCAATGAAGAAAATACTTTGGATCCAAAACGCTGTCAGAAATACATGATGCAAGCCCAGAAGTATTGCTAGATAAAATAGGAAAGCAATTACTGTAATTTGCTCGGGCCTGAGGCATAAAATGCTGAAAGTTTTCGTGATTTATTTGCACTTAAAATTGAATTTCATTAAAAACATCAACACATTAGCAAACAGAGCTAAAGAACTAATGTTCGAAGTCACAAACTCTAGAAACGAGATTTAGCTAACAATTTTTGCGACTAACTGGTTTTCAAATGATCTCCGGTAGACGGATCATTGCCTAGATGAAAATTCAAGTTAATAAAAAGGAAAATATTCAATCAGAAAGGCTAGACTGCAGAATACCCTGCTACTCACTGACATGTTATTGAATAAGAATGGTGTCTACTGTGTTGTGCCTCGTTCTTGAAAGCCTCACGACACATGCAAATGAGGTGGACCAAAATGGCAGGGTATCCTGCAGTTACTCCCTGGGTTGTTCCGGTGATTGTTCCGGTAACTCTTGTCTGAAATTTAGAATTTTTCGTCTGACAATTTTATGATTCAGCAGTGTTTTGAAGATAGTGTAATTTTTATATCCCGCGCGTAAAAACGTACAGTTTTTCAATACCGCACAGCTTGATTAATTGAATAATTTCACCATTTCAATTGTGTTTTTTGCATATGATGCTGTCGGCAAGAGTCAAAATTAAAATCAAACGATTATTGTTCGAAAAGGGACTGAAATTAATATCGCCTCGGGAAACAATTTTCGGGCGTTTTGAACTCAAAACCATGGGAAGTCTTTTGATTCAAGCTTGTTAAAGAAAAAAAATTGTTCGCTTAAATGGCGGCGAATAGGGGCTGGAATTTTGCAGACGTTTTTATTGAGCACAAAAAAACATCAAGCTACACTTGGTTACAAACACTGAGGTGTAATGACTCGCGGTTAATATCATATCGGAATAAAGATGCGATTAAAGCATATCTGTGGATATCAGGCAAACAATCAAAGCTATAACGTGAGGGTTGCCTAGCTCTAGCCTTGAGGTATCCCTTCGTTGGTGTGCTGCGATTGGTGTCGCTTCATTAAACTGGAGCCGTGATCGATGATTTTCACCTATAAACGTCAAGTTGAAGGGTTATTCCTTGTTGTAGTCTGACAGATGATTTCCTCCTGAACATCAATTCGTCACTTACTGTCCTTCAGTGCGGAACAATTACCGGAAAAACTCACTAATAAACGATAATAAATTGATGTTATGGCCAATTTTGTTTTCTAAACAGGTCATTCATTTGTGAGCTGCGCGTATCAGGAGGTTACAGTCAAGAACCTTTGGCATTTTCTTGTCAGATTCACAAGCGTGAAGTTCATTGCAGACGTGCTAAGGATTGCCGCGCAACTCTCCCTCAGCATTAAATCTCTTCACAGCCAGAGCACTCTAGTGGTATAAATGGAATATTTCACGATTTCTACAGATAAGAATCTCAGTTTGTGAAATCTGCAAGGCAAGATCTGAAATCCCGAAAAACATCAGCATTAAGAACTCCAGAGACTTTTGCAACGTCTCTTGGTTACATTGCCGACAGTGCTTTGTTAAAAGAACGAATTTTTGCCCTTTTTTTAGGCGAACAACGAATATCTTGTGAAGTGAAAGCCGAGCTTAGGTGGACCATTATCAGTTTGGTCAAGTATTTGGATTATTTCTTTGTACTGACCGAAAACTGATCGACACAGGACTGAGCTAAAAGTTTCATTTGTAATGGTCGATCCTCTCACCACAACAAACTCGAGGTATTTTGTGAAAATTCGTAAATCTTCGTTGTCCTATCCGTCAAGTCAAGATGAATTTCTCGGTAACAAATCACTCTGCTACGCCAGTAGTGTTATTGTGGAGTCCTGGCTTTAAGCATTTCAGTGTGACACTTTATGTTGTTATAATCACTACGGCATTCACTGGAAATCTGTTGGCTTGTCTCGCATTTATCTTGAGTGCAATCGTTCGCATCTCACCGACGAATCATTTCATATTTTCGCTAGCTGTAAGTGATTTGCTTACCGCGTGCTTCGCAATGCCCTTCGATCTGGAACAGCTTTTAACCAATAATACTTGGTACCACGGAGAGCTCCTCTGCCAGATATGGACCACAGCGTATCTCCTCACTGTGCCCTCGTCTATTTGGAACCTTTTGGCTGTGAGCGTGGACCGCTACAAGAGCCTCAAGGACCCGCTGAACCGTTTTCGCCAGACTCCGTTCATGAGCCGTAAGCGTGCAGCTCTGGTGATCCTATGGCTGTGGATTTATTCAGGGCTTTTTGCGCTTGCACCAGTCTTAGGCTGGAAACGGGTTCCTCAAAGCCTAACTGCGGTCGGTTTATGTGACTTCAACATAACTACAGAATATTCTTTGTTGAGCTCCTCCGTGAATTTCATCTTGCCAACCGTGTTTATGTGCGGGCTGTACTGGCGAATCTACAAAATTGCAAGTGGTCTTAGCAAACAGGAGGTGCTAGATCCTTTGCAGAATTCACCTGACATTGGAAGAAAGTCGGCCAAGAGCCTGAAACGGCGGATAACGACAACAAAGAATATCCTGATCCTTGCCTGCGCATTTTTCTTCTGTTGGATGCCGCATACTGTTCTCAGCATCGTCGCGATAATCATGCTCATGGCATGTCAGTCATGTATACTAGCCATCCCCAGGGAACTATACATTGTCTTTCTTATGCTAGGATACTCAAGCTCAGCTTTGAATCCTTATCTTTATGCGTTAAGGAATAAGCAGTTTAGGAACGCCTTATCCAGGCTTGCTCCCGCGTTCCGTTGCAAGGTTACTCCGCGGATACCTTCAACTCTTACAACTGGAAACCAAAAGTGCAGAAAGTTACTGGGTAACAACAGTACAGGACAGAGCACACTAACCCGAACCACCACTTTATAAACTGGGCTGCCTGTACTGAGTTTGGATTTAACCATTTTCTCGGTAACTGTTTAGTTCTAAAGCTGCCTGCTAAGGTTTTAGTTTTCCTCTGTGTAAAAAGTAGTGATTCCTAAGAACCGGGAGTGCGAGATCCCAATATATCATAAATGAAAGAGGTATTATTCGAAAAATTGTACCTTTATTGTAATTAAGTAACATTCAAAGAGCGTCAACTCTGTGGAATTCACGAGCGCTTCATATAATTTATGGAAACAATACTATATACAATCATTTCAAACTATAATCTCGGGCAACTTACAGAATGGATGTATCTTTAAAGACTGAAAATATAACCCTTAAAAAAAATGGCAAACACTCATTACTCAATCGCGTTAGCGACGTCCACGGTATTTCAGTTTGAACGTCACGTAAAGATTTGCAGGGCTGGGTTGTTCGTGACCCGGTAAACATAAATCCAGGCCTGAATCAACATCGTGAGGAAAATGATTAAACGTTTCATTTTATCTACAAAACCACGATGGACAACAATATTTTTAAGACATCAACCCCAAGATGACTGCGTATACAAAACCCATAGGTTGCCATGGCAATCAAACCAGTATTTGAGCGAATCTTGCTTCGAACGACACGGTCGAGGAGAAAGAGATCAACGGAATACTTGGAAAGTTGAAGTTTTTTTTTTTAGGAGGAAAAATTTGAAAGGTGTGTTTTAAGCTAATTTTTCCTTTTAGGTTCAGTACCATCTACTGGGTAATTTATTATGTTAAAAACCACTCAGTAGTGACCTATTTTTAGTGAATCAAGGAGAAAGTTTATAAACAAACGCTGAGAGTTGAATAATTGCTGTCGCTTTGAAATGACACCAAATCCACAGAAGACAATATTGTCATACAAACAAAAATTAATGGTGAAAGCGCTCATAAATCAAATGTTAGAAATTGAACAAGCTTTGATGACCATTGGGAGAGAGATTGCAAAGCAATTTCATTCTAAAAGCAAAAATTAAAACACATTAAAATATTTTGAAAGTTTTGTATAAATGTCGCGCACAAAAGCTTCCCCAACGATTCTTCAAATTATCCCATCGTTTCGTTTCATATAAATTATGCAACATAAATTATGCAATATGAAACTTTGCATAGATAAAACGAAAGCGGTTTCTGTTTAACTTTGTTTGATATTTGGAGTCAGAAGTCTCAGTGGATAAGCTTGAGTGTTTTCCTAAAAATTGCTTTAATAGCATGTTATAGCTGTCGAGATAATCTCACTGGTAAATATTTCTGCTTAAGTCGTAGATGAAAGATGTCAGTCAAAATTAGTGAGATGATGCGTAAATAATTCTAGAGTAGTGACCTTTGAACTGCTGCAGCTTTGACAACAAACTAGTAACAGCTTAATTCCCAACTATGACTGTATCGTGAGGAAAATATGTTATATATTGAAGTTACATCCACTATATTTCCTAGACTTGACATTACCCACCGTCCAAGATCCGAAGAAAATTCATCAAACAATGGCAATATAGCTTAGCAATCTTAAAACTGTTTAGCGAAAAAGAAAAAATGTAATATCAGTTGCACTCCTGACGCCAGTTAATGGCAACGGTCGTAATAAAAGCTGATGTCGGCCTTCTGTTGATAATGCACGTCTTACAAATTTCTGTTTAGCCTCGTTTTAGATTTAACCGTTCAGGAACCTTTTTTATTGGGTTAAATGAAAGGATTTCCGCATCCTCTCCTTAAGTTGTTTAGTCATCCAGTGCTCTTATTAAAGTATTTCAACTTAGAGCGGAAGAATATGTATCACAAAAAACCTTCTGAAGTATTGAACTACAAAAGAATTTGAACCACAGACGTTATATCACTTTTGAAAGAGGGTCGAATTGAACCAATATTGATTGTGTCACGGAATACGTTTCGGTAAGAGTGTCTTAAACTGTTCGAAAGATAAACAAGCTCTGCCCTGTTGAGAACCTGAGAAATTTTGGGGCAACTTTCGTGAAGAGTAGAGGAATCTCAAACAACCAAGACAACTGACTGCAACCAGTCTTTCCCTCTTGTTGTTCGAAAAACATAAGAACTTGCCAGTTTTAGTCACTTAAAGAAGATATTGTTATTGTATAAGGGCAAAGCACAGAAATTATTTCTTTTTTAGCGAGCTGTGCGCTTTTACCAACGCAATGAGTGATCAAAAGAGAGATTAAAAGTGGCCAAAAAATACGTTTTAATTTCTGCAGAGGTACGCACGCTTTTGAGGATACAAATAGAAAGTGACTTGAGTCTAACTGTTTATGGCATTCATTCTTGAGAACAAAGGAACTCTGAAGAGTGCTCTCACGTAATGGAATCTGATCATTAATTAGAAGAGCAGAGTATAACAATGCATTCCCATTTACTCCCATTATATCGCGCTGTTATCGTGTCCTTCACAACACTCTACAGCTGCGCTCGCACGATTTGGGAAAAAACAAATGAGCAGCTTTACGACCAACGCTTCGGATGAAGCTCATAATACCACATCGAAATCCCCAGTGGGACCTCAGGGATATTTGAACTTTTCTAAGGAATTCACCGTATTCATAGTGACTGCTTTTATTGTTATCATGGTGGCGGCGATCATTGGTAACACTCTGGTTTGCACTGCGACACTTTTCAGCCCAAGCTTGCGAAAAGCTACCACAAGTCTTTTTATCGTATCTCTGGCTGTGTCTGATCTTCTTGCAGCCATGTTAGTGGTTCCATTCGACGTCTATGTCATTCTCAACAACGGGTTGTGGTTTCATGGAGAAGCAGCCTGTAAACTTTGGACCACCACCTACCTGCTGACTGTTCCTACCTCGAATCTCACTCTGTTGGGCTTGAGTATCGATCGGTACCTCACCTTAAGCCAGCCTCTGAAACAGTTCCGCAGCGGAAAGGAAACGACTAGAAGTCGCATCGTCGGCTGCATGACAGCTCTGTGGGTGTACTCCCTCGGTTTCTCCATTTTGCCTATGACAGGTTGGACATTATGGCGTTTTAGGACGAAAAGCGTCAACGGTAGTATATGTTTCTTCAACGGTTCTCACCTATACAGTGTCTTAGTGTCTGTGCTGCACTTCATTGTTCCTTCATTGGCTATGTGCGTGGTTTATATCATGATCTATGGCCAGATCCGTCGCCACACTAGAGCTGTTCGACCTATTGATTCCCCAGTGGCGCATAACACCCAAGCAAACCTCCTGCTTCAAAGGAACATCAGAGCAGCTAAGCGGATTGCGGTGATTGTAAGCGTTTTCTTACTGTGCTGGTTGCCTTACAGCATCCTCAGCATCATTGGTAACCTGTGTCACGAATGTCTCCTTAACATACCGCAAGAAGCCTTTTACGTCACCCTCATGACGGGCTACCTAAATTCTGCTTTAAACCCTGTTCTTTACTCATTCAACAACAGAAACTTTATGGACTCTTACAGAAGATTATTCAGAGCGGTCAGACGTGGACTGGGCAGAGTAGGCAGTCTGAAATAAGAGATATTCCTTAATGAAGAAGGATAGTTTAACTGGTTTTTTACTCAGTCTTTTTAATTTTCATTCATAAGTGGATTGCAAAGAATTTGCTGAACAAAGTGAGAGAGATATTCCTCGATCCAAATGGAGAGTCAGGCGACTCTCTGAGTAAATGCTAGTAATGCTGACTAGCATTTTTTCATATTCTCTCACCGGTTTTAAAACATCTGCGCGATAAGTTGAAAGGTGTTGGTTCTTACTTCAGGATTACAGTGCGGTAGGTATACCCATTGACTAGTAAGCATCACAAACTTTTACTTAACAGTCTCTTGCGGCAAATTAAAGATCGCATATCACCATAAAAGCAACGGAAGTAACAACTCCATCTCCAACAATATTAATAAAGATATAGCTATATTGTTTCATTGTTTCTTTCACGAAGATTTTAGAAGAGAGCGCTCTGGGACTGACAAGGAAGAAAATCACGTTATCGAAAAAAATTGTTTCGATCACCTCGTAAAAAAGAGTGGAAACAGGAATGACACAGAATCTGCGAGCCATGCAAAATCTGTCCTGTAATCGGCATTGTTTATAAATACTTACTTACTCATCAATCGCCTGACTACACTCTAAGATTGCAATTAAATGACACGGCTCTTTTTTCCGAGGAGCCAAATAGACAACAAGCGTATGTTCGTGTACTTTGTAAGATATTTTTCTTTTTTTTTTTTTTTTTTCATAAGAAGTATTCTTTTAGGAATGGTACACTGTAACAAAAGGTTGAACTTGTCTTTAATATTTCATTGACAAACAGTGTAAAGACGTGTGTTAGTTTTGATATTGGACCCAACATTCCCATATTTATCGTAAAACATGAAGTCATTTTCAAAAAGTGACACAACATATTTTATTTAAAGTGTATGAGTGTAAGAACCTTAGCTTTTAGGCTAGAATTATCTCTAAAATATGTACAAAAACTTAGAAATGTCTGGTTGTCAAGGATAGATTGTCCAGTTCCGAGTCTGTTTGCGTTTAATAAAAATAATTGCAACTGGAGCATTGTCCGAGTTCCGTATTTAACAGCATGCGACGGAATGATTGTCAGTCAAGATTGAAAAATTTTAAAATTTATTTCCTTCTAATTATCCTTTCTCAGTTCTTGAAGTTTAACAGGTATGGTTCTGCGTTTTGAAAATTCCATGATGTTTTCCACTAAACAATATTAATGTTTGTCATGATATCTCTTTCGATTACGTCAAGTTCTGATGAATCAACGCGAAAACAGAAAGAAATTCGTGTTTACAGTAGAAGCTGTTACCAATATCGGAATTGAAATATGAAATAAATCGATTGCCTATATTGTGCATTAATTTTCAATAAAAACAAAGAGCTTTCGATCCTTTTCTTGACTCTTACGATGTCACGTAGGAAGTCCAACCCTTCTTTATTCACCCTAATTATTGGATTAGAGGAAAAGTCTTGTGTCAAATAGTTCTCTTAAGTTACTTTCAGATCCTTGCATTTTTACAGGATAATAATTCCGTAGCCGATGAGAATCTATCATAGCTTGGCTTCGAAAATAAGCAAAGGAACTTCCTTACGCGACCTGCGTTGGCGGGTTGAATTGAATCACCCACGATTGGTTACCTGACCTACGACATCTACTAAAGTCAAAAGTCTTCGCAGAGATATTCTAGCACAGTCTGCCCCTCTATTCGGGTGGCCTTTTGCGGAAACCCACCAAAAGAATCCGCAAAACATTAATGAGTGAATATTCCATTTAAACATCTGACTTTTTTTTTTGTTTGTTTGTTTTTATTAAGCGTTAAAGCCCCATATATTGGACGTTGTGTAAAAATTTTCACACCACTGTAATCCTTATGTTTAGGTTTTGGTTGGTGGCGGGGATTCCTCGTATCAAATCCATGAGGTTTAAGATGCGAATAGGCCACCCAGGTTTGTTTAGAGGTCACGACCTGTGCTCGTTTACAGAGATCTTTTAAAAATTTGGTTTGATGTCACAGATCATTAATCACTCTGAAAGTTATCGGTTCGTTGTTAACCTCAAACTATCATGTCGAATTTTTACGCCTTCAGATGAAAGATAAGTTTGAAGCTAGAAACTAATGTAATCGCAGTGTTCAGAAAGTTTTTAAAATGAACTGTGTTAAAAAAATAAGCATACTGACCTGCCACATACAGATCTGACTTTAACCAGCAGCCTTAAAAGTTTTGAACATCTGAAGTTGGTGCTTATATCAAGTGATGCTGTCAGTCGTCGGAATTATAGCAGTAGCCTTTCATGACCTCCGAACATATGGAAGAGACAATGCCAAGCTAAAATTTGCTTGGGATCCCTTTCAGATGCCAAAGATACCTTTTCACAATAGAAATAATATTTTCCAGTTTCCTTGTCTTTGTACGCCAATCGGAGAGGCTAGTAAAGTAAATTACTCTTCTTAAAAATAACGATTCTGTATATCGATGAGAAGATCGATCATTAATTAAGGAATGAGGAGATTAGAGAAGCTTCTTTAGCATTTGCCAACTGCAAAAGGCTCCTTGAATTTCAGAATCACTTTCCTTAACCGGTTTTTAATGGTTTTAATTCTGATTTTCCGTGAAGAAGTAATTCTGGGGCGTCTTGATCCTTGTTTAGTTTTCTAAATTTATTTTTTAAGTTGTCCTTGGCGATCAAGTAACATAAACTATGTGCCCGTCAGTTTGCAGGGCTACTCCTACATTCAAAGACCGATCCAGCAGACAAATTGCATGAAAAGTGTTACGAAAATTTAATTGAAATGTTTCTTTATTAAATCCATAGCTTTATCCTTTCTTACCTGCCTGCTAGGTTTCGATCCGAGTTTAAAAAGTTAATGGCTTAAATCCAAGATTTTCCGTGATAAAGTCGTATTTTCGTCCGTGGTCGAAAAGTAAGGAGTGGGCCGATACCGGTATCTGATACGACAACCATATGAGAATCCACTTAAAGCTTTTCTCCTCCGCCGGGATCCTGCGTTCTTCTGGTTACCATGATTTTGTGGACAAATGTGGATAATAAATTGCAATTTTTAACTTGTTTTTCTGTGATTTTCACGAGATGTCAGAGCACTGAACCGCAATTACTAATGACCTTGCGAGACAACCTTGTGTTTGGTAGGAAGGTCAAGTGACTTGCTTGCAAACTCAAGTATGCATAGCGATATTCAAGGTAAGAAAAGTTGGTTTCGTACTCAGTATCGCATCGGCTTACAAAAAAACGATATCAGCCAACCTTCATCGAGAAAGACGGGAAGTGAGACAAAAATATTTGATGTTAGTCGACAAGTTCCTTTCCATCGTTCGACTACTCTCTTAAAGATTTCACGAACGACACTTTCAGTTTTTCAGGAAGTTCATATTAAATTAAACAGTTTCGAAACTATAGTAAAATAACATCCACTAAAAGGGTTACAGTACTCGTTTATCCACGTGATGACAACATTATTTAACACAGAACGCCACAAGCATTCAAGTGCATTGTCCTCTTCGCTTCGGTAGCCACTGTTGATAATCGCCAGGGGTTCACTATGGAATTTCCGCTTGTTATTGCCATTGCTTTCGGAATAATTGCTCAATCAATGGGAGGTAAGACAAGGACTATTCGAAGTACAATATAATTTTTTTCTGATTAAAATGCATATTTACGATCTGCGCAGTTTCGGCGAGTTAAACCGGCAACCATTTTTAGCAGTGTTCGATGTATGAAAACTCATAAAATAAAGTTTATACAAATGATGCTGCCATTACGACAGAGTTCAGCGAGAACGATATTTTAGACAAATCGATTTGCTATTTCAGAAATACACGAATACTTGAATTGCGAAAACATCTTTTCAGCTCGTCCGGTTACCACTCAGAGAAAGCGGAATGGTATTTTGAGCTGTTTTCACAGTTGACAAACCGTTTAAAAGTGTGAAAATTTTATTGGACATGTATTTCCTTTAAAAAATTATAACCGAGGAACATCTACACATTTATGTTCGATAATAAAAGTGAGCGAAATGAGATTGTGCCGGTTCGAAGCTACCATGTAAAAATGACACTGAGTTTAGTTTCGAATTTTAAGACAATGCAATATAACAGCAATGTAAGTTTTCTTTCGACTGTGTCAGTGTGTGCTATATATCATTTTATATGAATACTATTGCGTTTCTAGTTTGGCTTTTCAATCACGGTTTTAGGGCATTTGATGGACTACACGCTTTCTTTAATTCATTACAAAAAAAAAAACCTTTTTGGCACTTCTGGGATGAAAAAATGGTGAACTAATCCTAGAACTACATCCTTGCCGTTCTGCTCATGAAGACGACTTGAAGTATAAGGCTATAAAAACTCGATCACGCGCATCGTATTTTCAAAATTTAAGCTCAGTTGTTCCCCATTTGGTGCATTAAGTACGCTGAGAGAAACTCTGCTAAGATCTCATAACTATGGTTTCGATCTAAAGCAAACGATTCGGACCGTTTCCGAGACGTCCTCTTTACTTAATAGGGAAATCTTGACAGCTTCAAGTCGAAACGAAACAGCCCTATATCCGCTGTTTTTCTATGAATTTCAACAACGTATGTACTGTGATAACTCACAGAAGTTTACACTACCATTTTAATTACGGGAAAACGACAGATTTAAAAAGCTAAGGACTCTTATAATTTCTAGGTGGAGCGATTAGAAAAAAGTGCTTCTCTAAGATCTGCTCCAGCAACCCCTTCAATATGATGCGAGTATGGGATAGATTTGGCAGTGGAGCCTTTGGGGCCCCAAGGTATGTTTCGCTTTATTCTTGGAAATCATCCAAGAAACCTCCTCTTTCTTTCTCTATGTATTTTTCTTTGTCTTTTGTGAAACATTACTCTACAGTCGCAGACCTTCAAGGCAACAGGAACCGGGCTTGAAACTTGATTATTCGGGGGAGAAAGAGTTGCAGACTTTCTTTACCTACTCGTTACTTTTAGGTTTTCCTGAGCAGCCTTTCTTGATAACTATCCCTTCTTTGTAAGGGGTTGCTTCTTTCGAGATATCTAAACACCCCCTGTTGCTTTTGAAATCGCGATAAGCGTCAAACCATTGAAATTATGACAGGCATTTTTGAGATTGCAGGTTAAGGAAAAGGTTGAGCTTTATGTGTAGGTGTGAGCATGTGCCTACTTCCAAAAAAAAAGTTGTTTGTTTTTATTTTTCGCATCTTCGTTGTTTCTTTTCCTCGAAGGAAGACATATTATAAGATCCCAGCTTTAAAAAGATGTTCCTTTTAAAATTTGACTGCCAACAATCTTGAAATCTCGTCGCTTCTGCGGAACAAAATGGTATCAACGCGTCTGGGCCAACCTGGCCACGGCGATTGTCTGAAAACAAGAGGTCTGCTACTGCTTTAGCCCCATAATTTACTGGAGATGTTAACGATAGAAATCAGGGTTGAGAGGAGAGGGGAGGGGTGGGGGAAGAACCAACACTACTAGTGTCTTTTTGGGTTCCTTCATGCAAACAATGGTCTGTGCTATGCTCACTATTCTCCGACGCAGGTGTTGCGAGAAGGATGGGACTCGCTGGGCCAACAAAGGAATTGATATCAAGTGCTCTGCTGGTTCGAGGGTATATGCGCCTTTTCCTGCTAGAGTTCTCTATTCGTACAGGCCGTCCTTGAAAAACAGGAGACCGCATAACGTTGCGATTCGCCTGCGAGGAACTGGAGCATGGAAAGGTAAAACATGGACATTAAACCTAACAATTGATCAAAGTCAGATGTTTTGAAATTCATCTCATTTTTTTCGCTGATTTTTGAATGCAAAACTGGAAAATCTTCCAGTATTACAAATATTGTAGTCTCATGGATTGCCTTTTAAACTAACACCTTTTGGCTTTTTAATCTCAAATTGGCATCTGCCCACAGATCCCTTCTATGTGGAGCAAAGTCTTAAACAAACCAGTATTGTAAGTTCAGAGCCACCACCAGAAATTTTCAATAACACTAAAACTTTCACAGTGGCCTGGATCATACCTCAGTTCACCTCCTAATTCATTTTATAATAAAGTTCGGATATAACGCGCGCTGTCATTGGTTGAAAGAGCGTGCTCTATGAGAGTATAGAGCATAGAGCTGAGCTAAAGCTGTCACGCCATCTGCCAAATTGTACTATGTTCGACCTTTTCCGGGACTTCTTTTTAGCTTTTTTCCGATAATTGAAAGTGAAATTTCGGAACAAGCCAGCCGGCAAGTGGTAACAGAAGAACCAAAGAAAGGTTTGTAAACATACCAGGCGCCGTTATTTACGTTATTAAAACGTGGGCAGATACGAAAATCCTCAAAGGAAAAACAAAATAGACATTCCGAGTTTTAAAGATTTTCACGCTCAGTTAGATTGCAAGCTTACGTACGATAATGAAAATCAAACACAGCCAACACTCGTATAGTATATAAAGTTCAGAGTTCAAAAACAAAACAAAACAAAACAGAAATGATGAAAAATATAACCAAACTGGCATAACTGTTAAAATTCATGCTAATCATGACGGTGTCTGAGCAAATATGATCATGCTGAAGTCCATCGTGGCTCGCTCATCATGGCGATCTCCGGTCATCACAGTAAAGCAAGCCTCAGAAACTACATCGGCCGCCCTTCGAGTGAAGAAATAAGAGCTCGCTCTGATATCCTTTCCAATGTGTTGAGTGGAAAGTCACTTCAGTCACTGCAGCCGAGTTTTGCGGCGCTGTCATCCTGAGCGATCTTCATGTTCCAGTGAATTCGGCTGTTGTTCATTTAAAAAACACTCGCCTTGAACAGTTTGTTTTCTACCTTGTCATGTGAAAAACCCGCGTGTTTTTATGAGCCATAATTCGACTGAAGTTCACTGAACATTTCACTTCAAGATTCTGAATTAAAAACTTCAGGCAAAAGCGTTAAATTCGACCTGCCGAATTATTTTAGTTTGTAAAACTATCACAGAGTGTGAACTTTGATGGTTTTTGAACTTTGATGGTTTGACACTTTTGACAGCTTTTGTCTTCTACAGCCAATCAGATTATTTGAACCATTCTAACAGGGATTCTGATTGGCTTATTGTAGCGTGCTCTATGAGAGTATAGAGCATGCTGACGACACTGTTCTTCGCTTTGGAAATAAAGTTTGTTTTGAAAATTGAAAGTAATACATAGGGAATTTAACGGATTCTTTATTATAAAACAAATAGAGAAGCCTTGACTGTGCTCTGTTCTGTTATAAAGCACTTAGGAAGCGGCTAGAGCACTCAAGAAGTGGGAAGAAACACTCGACTACGTCTCGTGTTTCTCCCTACACTTCTTTCGTGCTCTAGCCGCTTCCTGCGTGCTTTATAACAGAACAGAGCACAGTCAAGGCTTCTCTATTTGTTAATTATAATAAAGTTCGGATATAACGCGCGCTGTCATTGGTTGAAAGAGCGTGCTCTATGAGAGTATAGGGCATAGAGCTGAGCTAAAGCTGTCACGCCATCTGCCAAATTGTGCTATGTTCGACCTTTTCCGGGACTTCTTTTTAGCTTTTTTCCGATAATTGAAAGTGAAGTTTCGGAACAAGCGAGCCGGCAAGTAGCAACAGAAGAACCAAATATAGGTTTGTAAACATACCAGGCGCCGTAATTTACGTTATTAAAACATGAGCAGATACGAAAATCCTCAAACGAAAAACAAAATAGACATTCCGAGTTTTAAATATTAATTCACGCTCAGTTAGATTGCAAGCTTACGTACGGAAATAAAAATCAAACACAGCTAATACTCATATAGTATTTAAAGTTCAGTGTTCAAAAACAAAACAGAACAAAACAGAAATGATGAAAAATATAACCAAACTGGCATAACTGTTAAAATTCATTCTAATCATGACGGTGTCTGAGCGAATATGATCATGCTGAAGTCCATCGCGGCTCGCTCATCATGGCGATCTCCGGTCATCACAGTAAAGCAAGTCTCAGAAACTATATCGGCCGCCCTTCGAGTGAAAAAATAAGAGCTTGCTCTGATATCCTTTCCGATGCGTTGAGTGGAAAGTCACTGCAGCCGAGTTTTGCCGTATCCCGAGCGATTTTCATGTTTCGGTGAATTCGGCTGTCGTTCATTCAAAAAACACTCGCCTTGAACAGTTTGTTTCATACCTTGTCATGTGAAAAAACTCGCGTGTTTTTATGAGCCATAATTCGGCTGAAGTTTACTGAACATTTCACTTCAAGATTCTGTATTAGAGACTTAAAAACTTCAGGCAAAAGTGTTAAATTCGACTTACCGAACTATTTTAGTTTGTAAACGATCGCATAAGGTGAACTTTGATGGTTTTTGAACTTTGATGATTTGACACTTTTGACAGCTTTAGTCTTGTACAGCCAATCAGATTATTTCAACCATTCTAACAGGGATTCTGATTGGCTTATTGTAGCGTGCTTTATGAGAGTATAGAGCATGCTGACGACACTGTTCTTCGCTTTGGAAATAAAGTTTGTTTTGAAAATTGAAAGTAATGCTCGGGGAATTTAATGGATTCTTTATTAAAAAACAAATAGAGAAGCCTTGACTGTGCTCTGTTCTGTTATAAAGCACTTAGGAAGCGGCTAGAGCACTCAAGAAGTGGGGAGAAACACGAGACGTAGTCGAGTGTTTCTCCCTACACTTCTTTCGTGCTCTAGCCGCTTCCTGCGTGCTTTATAACAGAACAGAGCACAGTCAAGGCTTCTCTATTAAATAGGTCATCAAGTTTCCAAGAAGGAACAAAGGGGATATGAGAGGATGGGATGACACATTTCTAACGTTTCTTCCAGGTTATGGTGTGAGGTTGTTTTTCGTAAAGAAGAGAGCTCGCAATGGACGTTACGTTTCTGCCGGAACCTTCATTGGTTACATGACCAACATGGCGCCCGAGTATGGCTACGGTATGACTAATAGTGTTCAAGTGCAGGTTGACAAGAATGGAGTGACAATCAACCCAACTAAGTTTTTTTGTTAAGGTAAGACTCTTCCCCTTTCTTCCTCTCAGTAAAGCAACGAGTATAGATCACACTCATGACCGCGCGTTGCTCTCGACTACGTGCCCGGCCTAAGGTAGAGATATCCAAGCTAATTTACGCCGACACAGTGGCACATGTCCACACCTGGGGATTGTATAGCTTAGATTCGAGATACTTATGATGAAATTACAGTAACACACGGAAAAAGTCTACAACAAATTAGTGATATCTATATTCTCTGAGATTACAACGCTTCATTGCAGTCACTACACGCTGCCAAGATTGCAATGATGATAACTTAAAAAAAAGGTCCGATACGAGGAGACCCGTAACAGAGTTCCTTTTTGGGTAAACTTTGAGAATGAGAGAAGTTTGAATAACCTGTACAAACCTCTCTAACTATAAGATTACTGATTTTCTTATTCCTTTTGTTTTTTGTATGTTATGTCTTGCAGTCTATGCACCAGGAGAGAAGGATAACGTAATGTAAAAGCATGATTAAAGGACAAAAGTCTCTTCGTCTGCTGTTTGGTCTCTGAGTATTTTTAATTTAAAATAATTGATACATTCAAATCATGAAATAATAAACTAAACATGAGCAGTGTCTACCTATTGATGAATTTTTCGTTTTTTGGAGTTCCTCGTTCTACCGCTTGCAACTGCTTGACACAACATATCCTGTACAATTCGGTGTAATTAGCTACCCCAGAAGGAACGGCCTATAAACCACTTCGATTGTTGGTGCTATTTGTTCAACTGATCCGCGATACGATCTTTAGTAGAGTTATTAAAGAAAACCTATGAAAACAAAGAGTTTATAGTTCCTACAAATTTGGCTGATATCAGACTGAAAACAAGCGAAATCTTATAAATGACTGTAAATATATGAAAATCATATTTGTGAACTGCGGATAAAGAAATGAACACGGAAGTGATCTTCGCAGTAATGAACACTACTTAGGCAGGAGTGAAAAAAATTTCAGAAGATAGAAATTGAATAGAATCCTAATGATTACATACCAATCGGTGCTACAGGGCAATTTAGTATTATCAACTGAGCTGATAACGTCTTTCGCCAGGGCGATAATCGCTCTGACGAAGGGTTCAGTTGATAATACTAAATCACTCTGTCTAAATTACTTCTTAGTCGTTTCCGTTCACATCATTCTTGACTTAAAAACACGGAACAACCTGAAAAACGCTGAAACAACGGATAATTTTAACATTGCATTAAAATCGCCACGCACCACTGTTTAAAAACAAATTATATACCTACCCGACGACAAAACGAGAAAAAAGGTTCTTACGTGCCTACTCAAGAAACTAATCGGATGAACAACGGGGTTGTAACGAGCAGTTTGCGTGGAGCACGCACAAAAGAGGAACTTAATCAAGAGTTGAGACGTGGGTCGCTCGAAGATTCTGAGAAATTTTTATTCTCGGAGGCTCAAAAATTCCCTTTCCCGTATCTCTAGGGAACAGTTTCAAATATCAAATTAGGGAAGTTTTGATAGCTTACAAGCACTCACTCTTATCTAAGGATCATTGTGATAGTGAACTGAATGGCGCTATATTTTTTTTTTTAACGTTTCTTACTTCGTATGGCAGTTTGTAAAATTGTAGTGAAGTGTCGAGAAACAGTCTGTCATACATGCAGTTTTGATTATGAAAGACATACCTTTAACCCTTTAGCTCCTTAGAGTGACTTAAATTTCTCCTCGCTATATCAACCCTGAATCAAACATGAAAGTTATGAGAATAGAGGAGATGATCACAAAACAAAGCAGCTCTTGACTGTTAAATAAATTCTCCCTGTCAGCCTCTTTAGAAATGTATGGAGAGCAGTATGGAGAATATGCATACTGATGTTAGGGTGTAAAGGGTTAAAGATCTTTATTGGCATGCTGTGCGTATGGGCGAATATGGTCGCTACGTCCTCGTAAAGAACTTAAAGCTAGTCAGTCAGACAGCCACAATACAGTGGGTTCTCGCACTTTATCGATTGCACGTCATTATCCGCCACAAGCCGAACCCGTATTTCACATCACAATAGACACACAACCTTTTCTGATAACTAAATTCTTCATCAAAAATGGCGACGATTCTATCATCATTTTACTTTTAGGTTAATTAATCCTTTTTCCTCGATTAACAGAACTTTTAGCTTGAAACGAGGCATCGAAGGAAAATCAATACTAGCTGTATTTCCGCCTTTGTGGAATGACCTATACGGATATATGGAGATACATTTATAATGATGTTACAAACCGCATGAGTAGCCTTGCGTGATTGGAGTTAAGCAAACAATTGACTATTTTAGCTCACTAAATTATTTAGATCGTAACCTTGACTTCGATACTGAAATCCCGCACGATCAGTAAGGTTGGACCGACAGACTGAAATTCTAAATTCATAACTACGATCTGCAGTAATTATATAGGTTTCCTATGGTTTGTCTCTGAGATTGTTCTGAAATATGATGTCGAATGCTTGAGCTCGTAAGTAGTGCTGAAGTAAAACTTTGAAATCACGGACTAGTTTGTCCTGATAATTTGCTAACTTCCGTACGGGAGTTTTGCCAAATTACAAGCTTAACTTCAAGATGGGAAAGGAAAAAATGCTTTGTGAAACAGTTAGAAAATTCACACATTCCAGGGATCGTTTAATTTGGAGGACCTCTTCTTTCTCGAATGAAAAAACTTTATGGAGTATGGCACTCAGGACAAAATGGCTTTGTCTTGGCTTATTGCACTTGTGTTGCTAGCCTACCTTAGGAAGAAAATAAATATGTGGTAAATGTGTATTAGTTTTGCGGGATAAATGTATTAATTAAGTTAAAACGTGCGTTTTGTAAGACAGCGCCGCCAATCTATTTTAACAAAGACCAATCAATCATTACGCTGATAAAAAAACGTTTCTTTTTATATTCGGTATTTCAGCACCGTTGCAGTACATGTAAACAATGCCTTAACCACAGGTCGAGGTAAACGGATATAAATAACACTTTTCCTAGATGAGGTAATATAGAAAACGCCCTATATATAGACGTTTGTAACGCGGTCTTTATATTCAATGCCCCTGAGACTTACGGAAGAACAGGTAGAAAAGGTAATTCTCAACATGAAATATCCGATCTTCGTTACCATCGTTTTCATAGGAATATTTCAGTCTCAAGAAGGTTAGTAAACTCCTTACTCTTTTAGCTTCCTTGCAGCATTTTAAGTAACTAAATTACCAATATTGCAGACGGCAAGTTGCTAAGAAAATTCATTGTTAAAATTTTGCTTCTTCAAGTTCAAAACTAAAACGCGATGAAACGCATATTTCGAATGACCTGATCCGAAACAATGGAGTACATCTTTGGAATACTCAATTTATCTGATTCTCTTTAGTTCGAATCATGTGGAAGAAGGAACGAAAACCGAATGATATTCATTTGCATTGGAAACGGATATCGTGATAAACTAGATATCTTCCTGACTTTTCTATAATGTTTAACGTGGTCGTCAGTGACCATCAATTTCTAATTTGCAATTTGAGCAAAGAAAAGGAATTTGCAAGAAGCTTGAATCCTAACTCAGTGAACTACTTTTCTTTGTCGTAAGTTTATTACAAATATTTTAAACATTTTCTTTATCTTCTTTGTTGTTTTAGTTTTTGGCTGCGGCGGTGGAAGCAAGCCGAAGCCAAAGCCAAAGCCACCAACACCAGGTAAAACTACTTCTTGTTGTTTATTTCTCCGTAATGTGAAACTGGATTTAGAAAAAAAATCGTTTTCAAGGTTTGAAGGTTTCATGATCAGTTTAAAAACTTCAATCACAAGTATACTTCTATAACAGACTCTAGAAAACCTATCAGTTTCTGCATACAATGAGAGGTAAAGTCTTGACGCACTTCGAGGTTTTTCTATCCGGTTTCAGTCTATTATTTTCTATCCGGTTTCGGTCTATCCAGTTTTTATATCCGGTTTCAGTCTATCTGGTTTTTCAATCCGGTTTCAGTCTACAGACATTCCATCACAAATGCAACACGCCATTCAATGTTGCCGTGCGTCTGTTCTGTAATAGATGAAGTTTTGTAACAGATGACGTCAAAATGTGGTAAGAACAAAAAAACTGAGGCACAGAGGTTGAGTAGACTTGTTGGAATAAACTAAACCAAGAACTACAGCAACTCAAGCGAGAGGCGTAGACTCTTCTCATTTTTCAAAAGAGACACTTGAAGACTCGTCAGATATGTATCCAAATACGTACCCCTCTATCGCATATCATGTTACGCTTTGACATTTCAAAGCATCTCTAATTAGTCATCACTTTGTTGACTATGGTTAATATGCGTCAAATTGATCACATGTTTTGGTGACTTCCAGGTGGTAGCAAATGTTTTGCGCAGATTTGCTCCAGTAATCCTTCCAATCGAATAAGAGGAACAGATCGGCATGGCAGTGGTGCTTTTGGAGCACCGAGGAGGTAAGGCGAACGTATCGTAAGATGCGTCAAATCCGAAAATAATTTATATTATACACGGTTTGGGTATTTCTACATTTGAGGGGGCCGATCAACTAAAATACTGGGTCAGCAGCATACAGAAATTATCTGTTTCAGTGAGAGATACAACTGGATTAGCGTCAATCATATTTTGAACAACTTGTTCAAAATATGATTGACGCAAGTTCCGCATTGAAATGTCATCTAAAATATTCAGTAAAATTTTAAACGAAAGAGTGAAATGCGGTAATTGAAATAATCACTTTAAGAATCCCTGGGGGATCTCTGAGCTTTTGCTGTGTTAATATTATGCCACATAATTATTTAATAGATAGACCTTTATGAACACGTTCGTTATCTTGTCCAAGAAAGTTGTAATTTCTGTCGCTATCAGAGAAAAGGCAACAGGAGAGATCTTATGATAGATGCACTAAAGGCTTTTTTTGTGAACCATAATTTCAGCATTTTGGAGCTGACAGATTGTACTCACAAAAAGATGCAAACTATTGTCTCGTTATGTTTCATATGTAGGAGTCGTACCCATAAAGGCGTTGATATCGTGTGTGCTGTGGGATCTCGTGTGTACGCTCCATTTCCCGCGAGTGTTGTCCGTGGACTTACTGTGTATAGTGCATCGAAACATCGCGGCAAGCCATACAACACTGGCCTTGAACTTAGGGGAACTGGAGCCTGGACAGGTAATGAGCCAAAAAAAATAAAACGTAAAAGCACGAAGAAAATTTAAATAACCTTCAGCTATTCCCCCTCATTTCAAGAGAGTTGAGTTTTTATCTATTTTCGGATCCCCTACAAAACGTTATGATTCAGGCACAGACACTGCCGAATTTGGAAGTGATTTGCGTGGAAGATTAATGGGACGGGTCACTTAGTTGTGACCAACAATTTTTATGGCCTGGATATTCTCTGTGGTTCATTTGGTAGAGCAGCCGATCGACCGAACCTATTGATGGTTCGCTTCCTCACGGGAGCTCCCTCATTTTCCTTTGTCCAACGCTTGTGAAGAATAAGTCACATTTTTCTATATTCAAAAGATTTACACACCAGAATAAAAATACTCTCTCTCTTTGCTACTTTGTTTTTTTAGGTTATAAAGTAAAAGTGTTTTATGTGAGGAAGACAATCAACAATGGAAGAATCGTGGCTTCAGGGGATTCCATTGGCACCATGACTGACAGGGCATCTGTGGACCCTGGGATGACAAACCATGTTCATGTGCAGCTCTACAAGGATGGGGCGATAGTGAATCCCACTTCTTTTGTTAACTGTTAGGGTAAGGACGGATCGTTTTTGTTTTGCTTTTATTTACGGATGAATAAGATAATGGGCAAACCAATGATTTGCAGCTAAAGTGAAAAAAAAAAACAAACAAACAAACCGTGAAAGACTCTTGAAACCAATGAACAAGTGATGAGGAGAAGGAGGAAAAGCGAAATAACCAAAGAAAATAGGAAGGGCCGAACGATGAATGGGCGAAAGACCGTACAAAAGAGCGAGTAAGGGAGACGCAGTGAAGCATCTTGGTGAAAGTTGTGCATTACTCATTGTTTTCCTAAAACCAAAAACTCAGTTTCACCATATGCATCATACTTTGAATGAATGAGTTGCCATTAATCGGATCAATGAGTCTGCACAAAATTTTCTGGGATCACCACAGGGTCAAACTTTGCAAATTGCTTGAAAGAGATATGTGGTGTTAAGAAATATAAAATATTAGAAAATTAGCTTTAACTGTTTGGAAATAACTCAATGAAATCTTTTCCGTTGTACTAACTTGTGTACAGCCTTTTTTCAAACTTGTTTCTGTCTTCAATGAAACAACCTTTCGCCATAGATTTCTTTCAAGAAAGTTGCTATGTTTGACACAAGCTGATCCCAATTCATTCACTGGCCCAGATTACGTGTTGAGCAACTCTTACTAAATCAAGTCTGAACGTTTGCTAGTTTGTTTTGTCCATAAAACTAAACTGGTTTTTTTTTCTCCTTTCAGAATCTGTTGTTAGGCTAGCTGTTAGGAGTGATTTTTAGCCTGCAATAAATTAGCACAAATAGTTATTTCAACAGTGGAGTAGGAAAATAAAAGTTGTTCAAATCAAAGAATCTGACATGCACTCGTATTATTGTTTCTAAGTTGATAAACTTCTTGTTTTTCACATCACTTGAGGACAACTTTCAATTTCGTTTCGGCGTACGGTTGACAAAAAGGAAACCCATCCCATTCTCCTAAAAGCGTGTGTCTAAAGCCGGTGATACACTTGGCGATTTACACGCCGATCGTGGCGAATTTAATCACCAGCGAAAATCGCTGATATCAAACAAGCCAGATATTGGTGATTTACAACGGCTATTGACGAAAATCGCAATCGCTACATTGGGCACACTTGACGATATTTGCCGATCGCCGCGATCGGCGTATAAATCTCAAAGTGTGTCGCCGGCTTTACAGGCGTGGTTTTTTCATGTGAACGTCTAAATACCCCTCCGCGAAATGTGACTGTCATTTTGAATTCTTGATTTACTTCGCGTGAGGCAAGCAAAAACGAGGCGGCGTGTTTGGTGATCGTGTTTCCAGACCGTTCTCTCCGGTCGATACACTGACGATGCTCGACCTCCCCAAACCTGAGTAAAGTTTCGTAAATTGTTGTCTGTGTTATTGACGAGAGGATTTACGATAATATTCGGACGAGACGAAGTGTAGCGTTTAACCCATTGGCTGTTAGTGGTTAGCTTACTTCTGACAATATCAGGAATCGGTGAACACTTCCAAAAAATTGACTTTTTTCTTTTTTTGTCATAACATTTCCGTGGGTGAATGCATTTAATGAAAATAGTTAAAGGTTCCATCGACTTATTTTATGGGAGAAGTTAATGGAGATATCATTTTTGTAATCAAATGATTACCAGATGCCGATTTTTTAGCTGTTAAAATAGGACAATTTGAAGAAGTTGCCAAGAAAATAAAGTAAAATAAATGCAAAGTAATACAAATAACTTAAAAAGATAACTAAAATGGTAACAAAAAAGTAGAAATAAATAGAATTAATTAATTTTGAAAAATCAAATATGCATGGTGTTTAAATATTTTTATTATTTCTTTGAAAATAAAAAGACGCAAGGAAAGGTACATGTAGGTTATTTACATAATCAGAGCTTTTTTTTCACCATCAAGGTTATCTTTTCCTGTGAGCTGCCTGAGTTTTGCTTGTACTCAAAGCTGAATCTGAGCCAGTAATGCTAGCTGGAAGAGAGAACAAATGTTCTCCAAAGTATTTGGTTGCCAGGTCTCGTTTTGGAAGGGTTTGTTGAATTCCCCTTGATTTGGACAAAGGTCGTTTTGAAGAATGAGATGAACACACTTGATGGACCCTGAAGTCACAAGAATATAAAAATATGATCAACCTTTTGACCCCTATGAGTGACTAACATCTAACTTCTCCTTACAATATCACCCCTGAATCAGTCATTAAGGTCATGAGAATAAAGGCAACAATCACCAACAAGAGAAGCTCTTGACTTTTAAACAGCTTAGCTGCTTTCTTAGCTGCGAGGATCTCTTAATTTCATCTCTCCACCGCAGTGCAAATATATGAATTTTCATATATCCAAAATCTTCATTCACTTGGATGTTTATTTGGACCCAATTCATTGACCAGCTCCCAGTTGGCTTGTTAGCTCAATTTTGGTAGAGCGCTGCACCGGTATCGCAGAGGTCATGGGTTCAAATCCCGTACGGGCCTGAATTTTTTTCAGGTCCTATTTACAACTACTTGTTTCAGTAGTGTTCTTAGCTGCGAGGATCTCTTAATTTCAAATTCTACTTGTTAGCACTTTAAGAAATGTATGGATGACTGTATGGAGAATATGCATACTGATGTTTCTCTGGGTGTGGATGCTTCAAGTTGGGGGGTTTATTAGTTGTGTCTTGTAGTTCAATTCAGTGTGTTTGAACAGAGTTCACCAGAATATTCATAATAAATAATATGTCTTTATAATGAACCCTGAAATTATTTAAAGTGACTCTTCCTGCATTTTCCAAAACAATTGGAGGACAATGAAGAAGAATAGTCCATCCAAAAATGTACAATTCTGAGTCTTTATTCACACATTACTTATATGATTTTACCAGTAGACCCCACAGAAGCTCCTACTAAGGCCAGTTGCTTTTCAGCCAAACCTTGCACTAATTTAATTCTTGCTATGCCACCCCTACATTTTTCCAAAACAGTACAGGAGTCAATTTTCGTTGAATTTAACTACAACCCAGTAATAAAAAACAGCTTAACAAATGTAAGATTAATGTGGAGTTGTAACCCTATGAAATAAGAGGAAAATACTTGAACACAGTGATTGTTTATTTATATGTACAGCACAACCCCTCTGCTCTTGATATTTAGTCCCCACAATATTCTATAAATATATCTGTACCTTTCCTCAGATCCCTCTGGCGAGACAAATATTTCTGACTCTTGTTTAATAATATTTCTTTCCACTGATGTTGGCTGGTGTGCCAAATCATACTCAATTTTCTTCTGCTTGGAAGTGCAAAACTTACAAGGAGTTTCTCCATTCACTGTAAATATGTGAATAGATATTAGTAACTAGTAAAAAATAAAAAAGCCAAAAATAAGCCTGAAACTGGCATAGAGAAGTTTGTAAGGTTTTGTTTGCAACATGTTAAGTTATGTTGAAGGTTAATTTTATATTAAGCTTGCTTTAACTTTTAATGTTTATTGCATGACAAGGTAATGAAAACAATAGAAGAAAGGTAAAAGGTCATTACTACGGGCACTTTCAGCCTTTGGAACAGTTACAGATATATACTGAAGAGCATTCTGTTGAGATGGAAATGTGAAAGAGGAAGTCCCTTCCCTTTCCTCTCTTTTCTCTGCTTTTCAAGTCTCCCTTGCCTTCATTTCATTTCCCATTCATTGCTATTTTACAACTCAATATCTACCTGCTCTAAGAAATGAATTAGGATTTCCAGTCCTCTTGGCATAATCAAGTGGTACATCACCACTGCCATCCTGTGCATTCATGTCTGCACCATGTTTAATGAGGCAGCTCACGCTCTGTAAGTGAGCTCCTAATGCGGCTAAATGGGCTGGTGTTGCTCCAGAACCTGAAAGCCAACATGGTGGGTATTACATTCTCGATCCATAAAAAATTGTATTGAATTGTCTCATGTCAAGATTAATTAATTCATGTAGAAGTCTTTCCTCTTAATGCATCTATATACAACATGTACATGTATGTAAACATGGCAGTTTGTAGAGTTTCAGGTCTTTTCTGTAATACTGATGAAAGCAGTGATGGGAACTTTAAGAGGGATCATTTTTAGATTGCTCACTAACATCATCTCTCTTTAGTATGACAGAACCTGTTTCATTACAATCACATAATAGCAAAGATGTGTTTAGGTGTGGGGCAGTAATAAACTTCTAGCGAAAGAAAAAAACTTTACCATCTCTGATGTTGGGATTAATTCTGTGTTCCAGGAGCCAGTGAACACATTCTGTAGCACCATTTTGTGCAGCCTAAAATTGATCATGAAATTGTCACTAGTGTCTAAAATCAAAAGTTAACAACTACAAGAACAAAAAAAAAAAAAAACTATACTCAAACAAGCAAGTTGGAACACTCAGAGCTCTACAACAGTTCCACCATACTCACCACATGAAGCAAAGATTTTCCAGATCTGTCTCTAACATCTATTTTTGCCAGCCCTGAACCCAACAGAAATACCAAACAGGGGCAGTTATTATGTGCTGCAGCATAATGTGCTGGAACACGTCCTGCTGTGTCTCTAGAATTTACATCAATGTCACTGTGTGCAAGAGTTTTCAAAGCTTCCAAGCCTCCAGCACTTGCTGCATAGTGAGCTGGTGTGCGTCCTTGATCATCAACACAGGTTACCTCAACATCATTTTCTATTAGACACCTGAAGTGAAATGACAAACATTACATTTACAACATCACAGTTTTCACTGAAAAGTGTCATAACAAGGAAACAGTACAATAATAAGTAACAAGAGAATATTTTGTAAATAGAGTAAGAGAAATGTTAAGTTTTGAGCTCAGTAAAGAAATAGAGAAAGATATTTTTTGTCTTATCCCAAGCGTGGGACAAAGAAAAAATTCTGAGTCCCAATGGGAATCAAACCTCAGAACTTCAGATTCCACTTTCCACATCCTACATACTGCTAGGATCAGCAACAAGAGAATATTTTCTACATCTAAATTATAAAATGGTTCACGCCACCAAATTTAGCAGAGAAATCTGTGCAACAGCTGGAGAATTCTCTGATCTGTGTTGCATGCATGATAACATCATGCAGGCTTTAACTCTTTACTCCAGTAACATGTCCTTTTGGAGAGAGAATTTCATTTGGAGCCCAGTTATACATAAATATTATTGAGTACCTCAATGCAGCTCTATGATTTTTCATTGCTGCCAAGTGAGCTGGAGTACGTCCCTGTTTATCCTCTAACACCATGTTACTACCATTCGTGATTAAGATTTCCAGACATTCACTTTCACCGTGATATGCTGCCAGATGAGCACTTGTTTGTCCATTGGAATCAACAACATTGATATCTGTCATATGCTTCAGAAGTTCTTTCACCACAAGAGTGTGACCACCAATGCACGCCTCATGGAGTGGGGTCCTTTGCACATTGCTACCTTTGATAGGATCTGCACCTGCCTAAAACATTTGATTACTTCGGATAAAAGTATTTGTCATGTGGTTTTTCAGCAACATCTATATCCCCTGAAGAAGTATTGAACTTTACCTACATTTTTAAAAGATTTCAGTTCACAGAAAACACAAAGGAGGATTGTAAAGGGCCCGGGAGAATGTATTGAAAAAGTCCCCACGAGGATTCGAACCTCAGACCTTCGGATCATCGGGGCGCGGAATCGTGTCCCATACTCGTGACAAGACGAAAAACGTCTTTCTCAAATTCGAATATCTTAGGACAACGTATTACTTTTAAAGGATGTTCAACATCCCAGCTGAAACTACTCGTGAGGTCTGTCAATCCAGTACCGCTCCATTTATCATTCCAACTTACCTTAAGAAGCTGTCTAACAACCGTCAAATGCCCATACCCGGCGGAGCGATGCAAAGCGGTCCTCTGAGCTCGATGGCCTCCAGCTTTCTCGTTCACATTAATATTTTTATCTAAAAGCAGTCGGGATACAGTATCTGAATCACCTCTTTCAGCAGCCTCCTGCAACGGTGGCAAGGAGAAACTGACAAAATGCGATGGCAACGGTGGATTAAGGTCTTCACTTTTTGCACTGATATCTCCTTCGCCAAGCTCGAAATCCTTCGCTCGACTTGCCGTCAATGATGTGTACAAACTAAGATCAAAAGTGCGTGCACTATCTACTTCCCTTACTGACATTGTTCAAAGTCGAATTAAAAAATATCAGTTACTTCCATTGGCAACTTATTTAGTGTTTTGACGCCATTTTGTTTCCTAGGACCCAATCTTTTAGGAAAACTCGGTCGTACTCTCAGCTAAATCCTGGGATCTCGCGGCATCCTGGGATCTCGTCCAGCTTGACACTTCAGTTGACAGATGTTCCTCAGTTTCTGTGCAAATAAACAAAAGTATTTTCCAAAATGTCATTGGTTGAATTGCTTCAAAAATATGTTTACACCGCAGTAACGAATTATGTGCCCTCTTTGGCCCAGTTAGCGAACTTGCGGTTCTATGTTCATCCACCATGACGACCGGCCAAGCCTCAACTTAGAGACTTTAAAAAAAGCGATCACCCTTGCTTTCCAATCAAGGCGGCAGTCTCTAGTGGTTTCCCGCAATGAGGACATGGTTGATATTTTGTCTGTTCTGTGCAAATTATGTTGGCTGTGAGATGGAGTTCCCCCCGCTTCCTCAAGGAAAGCCTTACAGTTTAGAGAGCGGAGAGGATTCTTGGAGTTTGAACGGTCTTACAAGTATTGCAAATGACATCGCCTTGACGCTCAGAAATCAGGCGCCTTACGGTAAGGATCGTTTACAACTGTACTGCTATCGTGTGTGTGACTATTTTGACCTTTTCTACCCGAAAAATAAGCCGCTGTTTACACAAGGCACGTTAAACTGGACCATATTTTGAATGGGATGCTGTCCACAGAATCATAGCCGCGCTTGTGCAAATACAAGTATCACTTCATAAGTGTGCTGCCTCTCGAATGTAGTGCTGCAAGGCAATTGCTATCCTTCGGAATACGACATGCGCTTAAATATTGCACAAAGTCCAACAGATTTCTTCTCGGTATGCGGTTAGGTAAATATATTCTTAAGATTAGGATTTTAAAGCTGGCAACATTTTACATTGAACGCGTTGACTTTCGCTGTGATGATAACTTAGGCTACACAGTGAACGAACTAGTTTAAAGGTTACGTCCTAATTTTTACTCAAATGTTGTATTTTTAAGTGATTTCAGTTTAAATATTTTTAAACTAGTTTTTTATTGGGTAGTTCCTTTGTTCCAGGATTATGGTAATTCAATCAGAACGAAGAAAAATATTTTACTAAACAACGTTTCGACCGCTTATATTGCGGTCATTTTCAAGTTGAAGGATAATTATTTTTTCATCATGCGCCTAAATAATCAATTTTAAAAATGCTAATGACATTTAATTGATTCGGTTTTAATGCTGTTTCTTTCGGCTCAGCGTTTTTTATCATTCTTGTTAAAAAAAGAAAAACAGCCCCTGATAAGTTTTGCTTTACTACATTTCCAGATGAGTCTATTTCAAATAAGGAAGTATTTGTCTTCTGACCAATACTGACACGTGGAGGTGATGTGTTGAAAATTAAAATCTTTTCTCTTCCCGACCTTCTACTGCTTTAAAAATCAAAGATGGTAGCAATAATTTTCACCAAGAAAATACTGAGCACTCACTTGCCAACATCACGCCTGGTTGGCAGGCTATTTCCCTTCATTTTCATTCACAGTTAATAACAGAAAGTAAATGCTGATTGATTTTTGTTTTTGTCTCTGAAATCACAGCAATTTACCTACATTTATATTTTAATAAGTTGAATTTTACTGTTGATTACTCATGAACTATTGGAGGAGAAAGGTATACATGTTAAGGATGACACCACCATAAATATTTTACCTCTTTATAATACAAAACAACTAGATCCCATTAGGTTCAGTAATAGCTCACATATGACGCAAAAATTTGGAAGGAACATCAGTGACTCATGTGGCTGCCTCTCTTGTGCCACTTTTTCATTCACACCACATTTGTGATCTTACCAAACAGACATACAGCAACATTGAATCTATTTTTTAAGTAAATATATACCTCCTCTTTGGTTTTTTGCAGAAATTATTGGAAATACCCTAAGTAATGCATTTGGTAAAGGAGGAAAGTCCCCAGAAATCTCTGAGGTTTGTGAAACCAATTAACTTTCACTTAAAATTAAAAGAGGTTATACTTTATAAAAAGCTTCATGCAAATTTTATGTCATAGAAAAATTTTGTAAAACAAAAGATCTTACCCACCTTGAAAAAGTAAGTTTTAAAAACCATTGCTTAAGTTGTTTCTAAATGTATAGCTTCTCGATAATATCTCAAAGCAGTATAATTACCTTTAACTTCATAGGTTTTCCCTCATACAAGGACTTTCTTTCCCTTTGCTGTTCAGCCACTATGCAAATGGCTGTAGCCTCTTTTTACAAGTCTCGAGTGAGCTGCACATGAAGACCAAAATGTGCTGATTACATATAAATTTACCTTCAGTTAAGACAAAAACTATTCTTGAAATAGCAAGGATTACTTATCTTATTTACAGGTAGAAAAAGTAGGTCTTTCAGAAGGAAGCTGTGATGAAAGATTAGCCAGTGGTAAAAAAGTGACTTCCCCTAGGGTACAAGCATCTATTCCATTAAAATCTATTCCCCTTTGCTTTTACTTAGTGATTTTTTTTTCCAGTTTTAATCAGTCTCTCTGAGTAAATAGGAAACAAAGCAAAGGTTGAAATTAATGGCAGTTCAAGGAACTTCTTTCACCATTTTTTTACATCAAAGCAGCCAGTGTTTCAGAAACAAGTACTGTAGCCAGTGAAAACTCTGGTGACTGGTGCTGCTGGAGAATACTGACAAGTGTTACTGACAAAGCCCGTAGAAGAATTTTATCATTGTGATTGTTTGTTGTATGATGTGGTCAGCAGTGTTTTTGTTTTATTACTTTCTCAGGTGATTGACTATGAAGTTCCTTTGATAGTGCTGGCTTCCCTCTCTTTGATTGCTGCATTGGTTATCCCTATTATTGGCCTAGTCTTTTGCTGTTGTCGTTGCAGAGGAAAATGTGGTGGCATTATATATGATGATGAACTCAAACAGCATCCTGCAAAAGAACGAATAGCATACTCTGCTGGAATTCTTCTTTGTGCATCTTTACTGATGTAAGTTTGAGTTTTGAAATGTTTTTGTCATTTTTGCTTTAATTGTTTACAAATAAATTGAGGTCCATGTTGGGTCATTTTTATGTCATTTGCTGACACAACAGTTCATCTTCCATTGATCAGCTTTATTGATCAGCCCACAGAATGAATTTTTTTTTTTGCTCTATTTTATGTCTTGCAGTATTTCAGGTGGCTTTATTCTAGCTTCAAGTATTCATATGAATGACAGTATCCCACATGCAAGAACAGTGTGGAATGACTCATTTAGTGATATCAAAATTTACGCAGGCAATTTACTTCAGGTAAGGGATAAACTATATATTTCATGAATCTGTGTATTCATGATGGGCTTGTTTGATACTGGTACAATACTTAATTGTGCTGAAAAGTGACCTGTGTAAATACACTATTTAAACATTTCAGGAAATAAATCACATATTACTTCAAGAAGCTGTTCCCACAATTGACATTTTGTTTGATGCAGTTATTGGTGAGTTTTGTGGGCATAGGTCATACATTTGGGTAATGGATATAGTGTAAAATAAGTTTTTTGACCTCTTGAGGATTTTTAGGATGTAGTTTATTAATTAGTGATTCTGACTAAAAACTAATCTGGCAGTTCTGAAATCCAGAATGCCTTTGCAACTAGTCAGAAATGCCAGAAACCTCTACTTTCTTCTTCTTTGGACACTTTTAGCCCAGTTAGAATTTTTCCTGGGATATGATACTTTCTGATTGAGTTGTCCCAGTCAGAGGTTAGGCCAGGATCACTACAGTATGTTTTACTTTTAGAACTCTAACAATGATGAGTAAGCACAATTGCCCATTTTAATAGAGTTAGAAGTGGAACACAAATTTACATTTATGTAGCACAGCCATAGCCCTTGAGTGACTGGCATCTAATTTCTCCTCACCATATCACCCTTGAGTCAAACATTTAGGTCAGGAGAATAAAGGAACTGACCACCAACTTGAGAAGCTTTTGATTGTTAAACAAATTCTCCTAGTCGGCATCCTAGGAAATGTATAAAAATGTATGGAGAATATGCATACTGAAGTTAGGGTGTAAAGGGTTAAGTTACTACACTAGACAATATTATCAAGAGATACTGTGTACTTTGTGGGTGTCAAAGCAAAGATGCCTGGTGGAGGCAAAGACTTCCTGGCAGTAGTCTTAAGAGTTTCTGTAAAGTTTGTTGTAATTATCCCTGTCTCCTACATTGTATATAACAAAAAGTATTTCTCCAACAAAAAGCTAAGAAAAAGGTTACATATTAATTATATAATGTAATTCAAGTGCTCATTTAGTTCATACAATTGTAGAAACACCTTATATTTGCTTTATTGTTTTGTAGTACACTTAAATATAACCTGGAACAGTGTTGAAAAGTGGATTTATAGTGTTAATTTATCAATTTGTTTAGCAATGGGAAGAGATATAGTTGTTCCTATAATACAGTCACCTGTATTTCAAGAACTCTACTCTGCTGTTAAAGATGTTGATCAAGGTAAATGTACATTATGGTGCCCATATTCCTGAAAAGGAATGTTCATATGATACTACACATTATATTGCTTAATCTCTTTTTTTGGCAACCAGAATTTTATTTCTAGTAACTATTTTATGATTTTTTTCCTGCAAGTTGCAGCTTGGGAAAAAGTGTAGCTTGGAGTGCTGTCAATTGTTTTTTCTTTTTTTTTTTTTTGGTCTAGACAGAGTCATCTGTCATCAAATTTAAGCTAGGCTGGGAAGGGGTTGGGGTGTGGAGAGGTAGTGAAGAATCAAGCATTCCCAGGTTTTTGGCTTCCTGAATTTGCAGCTAAAAACAATTTACTTTCTTTTATTATCAGCTGTGAAACAGACCGCACAACTTTTTGGGGAAATAGCAGATGCAAAGTCATCTCTAATCTCAAAAAGCAGCCACATTCAAAATGAACTAATTTCCATTCAAAAAGCATTGGAGGCCATTCATACTGAATGTATAGGTAGTGGAGGAAGCAGTCTTTGTGATGAGATCCCATTTGGTAAGGATGTGGAAACTGAAGCAGACTTTAACAAGGTGTGTGATTTTGTTGATCATGACTTTCACTTATAAATTGTAACAAAAAATTATTGTTCAAGATATGACTGTCACAATAGTAATTTGATGTCAATGAAATATACATTTACTGTTCATTGTACATATAAATGATAGTGCAACACAAGAGTAAATCTGGTACATGGATACTATGTGACCTTGAAAGCATTCTCTATAAAATCAGATGATTTTAATGAACTATTATTACTAAATGAATATCTGGATTTCTTTAAATCTTGTATGTACTTTTAATACAGTCAGGCAAATTTTTGTTGTTGTTCAGCTAATTACTGTTAATTTTTAGACTTTATCCTGTGTATCTCAGGGAGAATTAAGTGAGTCATTTTATGGGTAAATTTAAAGTGTTTAGTGACAAATTAGCTTTATTTAGTGCCCTGAAGCTTTTCCTTGCCATCCTACAACATGCCACCCTCAAAAAGTTCCTTGTTTGTTCAATTTTTTAAGATGGTAGTAAAGAAGTGTATCATATACAACTGAGTGTAGTCTTATTATTTCTAGGTCCCCAATGTTACTGATAGCCAAAACAAAATAGAGGATGTGGCAAAGAGTGGTCTTGGAGATGATGTTGCAAAGGTACAATTTTGAACTCTAACAACTATTGTTACAAATTCATATGTTAAGTCTTGATAATAATATAACAATTTTCATTTATATTCAAGGTGATTTCTTAAGTTTTCAGGTGTTAAATATTTTACTTGTACCTAAGCAAGGTTATGATTTATATTTTATGTGTGGTTTGGGAGCTGTTTGCAATGGAAACACTGTGATCAAGGCCTGTGATTAGGGCCTTAAAAATGTGTTAGAGGGAAGCTCTCTAAGTATAATAACTGATATACACTGTAATCAAAACTATAACAAAATTTCCACTAATAGGACAGTGTATGTGTCATGCTAGTAATTTGACAGTGTATTTGGACAGTTTACATGTTGTGCCTGGGTAAGTGGTCAGTATGCATCATGTGTATGCATCATGTGTTCTCTTCAAAACTGAATTTGTTTTGTAAATTCTTGGGGAAAAAGGAGTAAAGTATCCTGACTGACATAAAACCATTTATAAAGTTTTTGCAATTCATTAATTTACCTTAATTTACATTAATCTAAGGTCATTAAAAGTGATAAAATAATCACTCAGAAACTAAACGTGACTGCAATCTTTTTATCTCTTAAATTATCAGACCAGTTTACTTCTAGCTGTTGGTCACTAGAACTTTGTGGTTGTGGTTAGGAGGTCATAAGTGAACCATGTTCTCTTCCATTATCAAAATAGGGTAACCAGTCTCTACAGGACATGGCTGAGAGAGTTCAAAACTTGACTACAAATTTAACCAATGGTAAGAAATAAGACTTGTGCGAAAATTCCTGTATGTGATGTAATGCTACACTTAAAAACAACTTTATATAATATATGCTTGCTTGACCACTGAGCTGTCTTGTACATGTATTTTTGCCAGTAGATATAGAAAGAAAGCTCTTAATCTGTTTCAAAAACAAAAAACAAACAAGCAAACTTAGCATTAGGATAAAGAACTTACAGAAACTAAATTCTGAAACAAAAAAAAAGAAAAAAGCATTTACTGAATCCTTGAATCCTCAACCCTTAAACTCTCCTAGGTGATCACCCATGTAACTCTCCCTGTAATATATATGTGGGAGCTAGAGGGGAGAATTATCTTGTTGAATTGCTTATCACTTTAAGTAGTTGAAGGGTCAAAATATAGTGAAAGTTGGACTTTGAACACTGAATTTAGAGGTCACATATCACTCAAAGATGCAACAATTGTTGTCTACAGAATTTCAGAATTTTACTTCCAAAATAAAAGATATGCCAGTGGATGTTGTTCAGCCTTTTAGAGATAACATTAATAAGGTAATTTTTAGCCAGGGAACTAGAATGTTATAGTTTTATTTCTACACCTTCTTTGAAGTTATCTGGTTATGGTTGTTCTGCCCTTCACCTTATTTTTTTTTGGACTTGGTCTATTCCCTTTGAGCACCATGCAATTCTAATAAGGAAGGGGTAGTTATTCCATTGTTATTTTGACTCTGAGTTTGGATTGCAATGTACAGTATTCTTTTTACAGGACCTTGTTCATGTCTTAAGTCTTTGAACTAGAAAAGTGTCTCAGGGTCGTTATTATTCTTTCTTGCTCAAGACAGGTCTTATAAATCATTTGAGAATTTCAGATATGTTCATGAATCTTACTTCCATCTGGCCAGAGTTGGGTAAAACTGTTTTTGTTTATGGGAATATTAGCTGCTGGTTCTTAGCTGCATGCTGTGGGGTCAAAGGCAACCTCAGTACTAGCCTGTTACTAGGGTTTGTGGGATTGTAGTTGATTGCAGTAACCTTAGTGTCCCCTCAATGATTAATTAGGGTGTTCCCACAAAAAGAAATAACATTACAAGGTGCATGTGAAGTGAGGTGTTTTAATTTGTTTGTTGTTGTTATGATAGTACATTGCAGATACTCTGTTTCCGATCAGAGATGATGTAGATGAGAAGTATCTTGGTCCAGATGGATTGCTATCCAAATATGACAACTATAGGTACAGTATGTATACATGTATCCTGTATTCTGTACAACTGTATACATGTATTCGCTGCTATAGGGTGTATGTAATTTTGTTGGAAATCTTGACACTTTACATTTCTCCTTTGGTTCTCTCTCTCTCTCCACATTTATGTAATGTTGTATCTGTCCAAAACTGAATGTTTTGGGTGCAAAACTGTTCTGTTACTTTCCAGTGTTAAATTTAAGGAGTGAGCCAGCTTTACAGAGGGAAAAACAGAACAATTCAGTGTTGTATAAGAAAGTGTTAGTGGGTTTGAAGAGAAGCTAACGGGAGATACAGTGTAGACTGTAGACAACTTACCTATAATTATAATAATTATAAGACCTTTCAATTTCTTTGGATTGGGCTTCATGACTCAGACATGATGTGAATGAAATGTGGGGCAAAAAGGAGAGAGAAAGAAAGAGAAAAAAATGGAAAATAATGTATCTTGTTGATTATCTTTTCTTCTGTCAGGCATATAGCCTTCGTTTTGATAGGAGTCCTATCTCTTTTGGATGGTTTGCTGTTGATAATTGCTGTGGTAATGGGTTTGTGTGGTTCTTTAAGTTATGATACACCCAGTAGTAGAAGTAATCTTTCACACTGGGCAGGAAGGCTTATGTTAGGGTAAGTTGAGGATACTTTGACAACCCATTTCATTATTAAAGTATAATTATGTACTTGTATGTGATCAAATGATTAAATTTCAACTACTGTACTGTAGGAATAATTGTGAAAAAGCTCAAATTTCTTTATCAAAGACTGTCCACGAGTGGAACTTGTGATCTTTGAACAATGAGTAACTCAAAACTCGTTTTAATACAAATTGCATGAAAAAAATCATTTGATTGCTTCTTAATTACTTCCATTTAATCTCATGCTTCTGCCCTGAGTTTCAATTTTCTGTTCTGCTTGGTATTAATGGTTTTGTCTCAGCCAAATGGCACTTGGAAACTTTTTCTGAGGTCCTGGCTGATAGAAGAGTTCTTAGTCGTCTATTATAGTTGGGGTCACTTGGAATCTTTTCCTAATCTATGAAATTACTTGTATTTTCAAAAACTCCAAGGCATCCCTCATATCTTTAACACCTTTTGTCTAAGGATGCATGCAACCATTAGTTTTGGGTTGTTGCTTCAATTATAATTGTGTTATGAAAATAAGCAATTATATGTAAGCTTTGATTGCAAGCTTTGTTAGAGAATGGTAGGACAGTTTACTCTATCCTCTACAAAACACCCCAAACTTTGTTGTTATTGAACTGTTTTCAGCATATTTCTGTATTTACAGAATATTAAATTTTTGGTTTTTTCTGATTTAAGGAGGCTCTGAACTTATGATTTTTATTAATATGCTGCCAAAAGATAAATGTTGATGTGCTGAATATATCACAACCCTATTCATTGGTTTTCTGTTTGCACATTCATTCAATTTAACAGTCATTTCTTTATTTCTGATTATGAACTAGACTTGTATTATTAACTACCTAGAGATCTAAACTAACTAAAGGAGATACAAAATTCAGGTTGAGCATTGTTAAGATTATAGGTAAATTATAATATTTATCTGACCATTTTTCCCATTCTAGAGCTGCTGGCTTGTTCTTTTTTTCTGCATTTCTCTTTAATTTGTTGACTGGTATCACGTTCATGTTGGGAGCAAATATAGCGGTTGTTTGTGATGGCATACCTGATTATAAGCTTCTTGAAAAGGTATTACTTTTGTGCAGATTCATTCTACCCATGTGTATACTTTAGCCTTATTATATCAAATAGCATAAAAGGATTTCTCATGATGGTTATTCTCTTCTCACTTTCTTGTGAGTAATTGAAATTTCTGGTAGCTTTTCTTTAACTATCTTGTTGTCATTTCCTTTGTTAGATGTTTTACTACTTGCTCTGTGCTTTCAAACATGTTACCTAAACAAGGCATTGGACATGTACTTTGATTGGAAGTTGGAAGATTAACTTACTTCCTGTCAAAATAATTATTGTCGTACCAACCTTTGTTGGCTTTTTGTACCTTTTGAAGTGGCTGCCTTTTTTATTTATTAAACTAATTGATGATTTGGCAGCTTAAGCAAAGCAATGTTCCCAAATGATTGATTGGATGCAAATTTATGTGCCAATCAATTCAAAGCTTTAACATCCCCCCTTCCCTTAGCAACCCATGGGCATTTGACTGTTGTCTGTGCACTAGGGGTGGGGAATTTGAACCTTGCCTGGAAACAGTGGAACATAAGTGTTTTATTTCACATATGGAGGAATTGAAAGGTATTCGTAAAGAGTCCACTTTTATAAGAAAATTTTTCACAATGAAGAATGATACTTACATGCAATGAACCCCACAGCAGCACCAAAAACTGTTATGTGGCTTTGCTAAATTCTGAATCATTTGTTGGGTGTTTAAATGCAATTTTGGCACGGGGGCAGGAATCTGCACTTACCAATCTTAAAAAGTTGAAATGCTCAGAGGTTCACTCTAAAAAAATTTTAAATTTAAATTGATTGATGCATTCAATTTTATCTAGCCATTTATGCATAATAATTTTCATAGACTATAGATGACCCAAAATTTATGGGAGGAGAGTACTTGCTGAGTGAAATGATCCTAAATAATGGAAATATTCCATTGACTGTGTCTGGAGTGCTTAGGTAAGTGGATCATCATCTTCATCTCTGACTTTGTCTTCCATCAAATATTTTTGATTGTGCATGTTGGTGACAATTATTTTATTAATAATTAACCCATTGAAATTTTCCACTTCTGGAGAAGCAGGGAATTGCATTTATGTCACTTCAAAGAAGTCCACGGACAGTCCTCCATTTCTTCCTGTACACTCCCTTCCCCTGCCCCCTACCCCCCCCCTTTGCATTGGCTTTTCACATTTCACTTGAGGCTCATGTTTCACAGGATGATGAAAACTAATAATGTGTTACTCTGAAATGAAGTGAAGTGAATGATAATATGGAGAGTGTCTTATGCTCTATTGTAATACTTAAGCAAGCAACGCATTTATAAAGTCTTCACTAATTTCTGTCTTGTGTGAACTTACAGTGAATGTTCCAAAAATCAAGCTCCTTGGGATGTTCTCAAGATGGACCATGTGTTTAATCTCTCTGTTGTTCTTAACTACAAAGATGTAAGTTTCAAGCAACAACAAAGAAAATTAAGTTTGTTTGTGTGGTCACATGTTCAAGGAACTTAAACACACCAGATTAGTATTTATAATGCTTGAGTGCAGGGTTTGTGTCTTGGTTTTGACTTAATTAATTAGTTGTCTGAATAAGGCTAGTGTGGATTTCTACAGGTTAAGAATATCAGTGGATTTTGGAAGGGACAGTTTTTTTCTCTCATTATGTTAATGTAAGCTGTGAACCTTAGGGAGAATAGAGATAATGGTATCAATAATTATGATAATCAGATAATGATAACGAGTGCCTTAATTGTCTGCATTGATATGGCGTTTCAGCAGCTCCTCAAATTGGAACTGATTTGAACATTAATCCTCTACAAAATGTAATCTTATGAATTTCATAAGAACTAGATTCATCCTATTGCCCCTGTTAGTTACTTTGTCCTTAAAAAGTGGGAGGTTCACTATTTGATTTAAGTCTTTGTTTTAACCAGAGTCTCCGAAGAAGTGAAATTGAATTTCATGAACTTCAAGTCTCTGTTCAAAGATATGTGACTGTTGATAAATGGTGTGCTGAGTATTGGTGTTTGGTTTTTTAGAATTCAGTCTTGCATTTTGCATGATTTTCTCTTTTATGTGCCATTAGCGAATCCCTGAACTGGACGCAGTGTTTGCTACACTAAATGAAACTGTTAAAGATACTGAAGTAATTCCTGAGAAGACCAAGAAAAGTGTAAACGACTCGTTGAATGCAGGGGTGTCAGACATTAACTTCACCCAGTATCATGAACAGGTTAAGTATGGACAGAAGGTTTTTATTGTTAAATTAATAGGATGCTTAATGATAAACTTGGGCATGTCATTCACCATGGTGTCACGACTGAACTTGATTTTATGGAGGAAATATCCATATTATCGTGTTGATTGTGCCTCCTGAAAAATAGTTATTGAAATCTCAAACTAATCTCCTATCTCCCAAAATCCCAAATGCTACAATTTCAACCCCACTTCCTCCAAAAACTATATGAATAGCCTCCCAAGATTTAATTCAGGGTTCCCCTTGTAGCAGACAAACAGAGGAATGATAGGATAATTTTGGTTTTATGAACTGAATTGGTAATGTGAATTGGCCACCGTAAAGAGTTTCAAAGAACAGACAAGAGATGGGTAGTCTGACAAACAAACAGGTACGGAGACTGAAAGACAAGCAGACAGACATTGTAGAAACAATCAGACAGACAGGTGGATAGAAGGTCAGATGGATGTACGACAGACAAATAGACCGTCAGGCATCTGAATAATGAAGACCAGGCAAAGGAATTAATCGCCAGAATAGCAATACATACATCTTGGTGTCCTCAAAACATGTAGAACTAAAGCAAAAAGCAATAGCCTAAATCACTGGATTAATGATACACGTAACAACCATATGGTGGTAGAATTAAAAGTTCCTTAGTCACGTCATTCCTGTGTACATTTTTATACTCCCAGGTGAATAAACCTATCGTCACTGTCTCCTTGCCATCATTTGCATCCAATGTCAGTAAGGCTGCCAACACAACAAAAAGTCAGGTATGTCGATACAGTTACCCGGGACCATTTGCTCGTCATTACAGCTTCGATTAATAACTTGCGGCATTATACAGCCAATTATTCAAAAGGATCAATACAACCATGGTTTTGATAAGTTTTTTTTTTGCCTTTGTACTGGTATCTTACAATTCTGACTATCACTAGGCATTTTTATGACGTTTCCCCAATGTAAGAAGTTAGCATTGCGGCATTACAGGCACCTAGACAATGGCAATTCAAGACAAATTTGTAGTTATGTCTTTGGGTGTCTACCAATAGGAGCTTGCAGTGGTTTTTCGTAGTGTTTGTTTTTTTGTTTGTTTGTCTGTGTTTTTCAGAGATGAAGGAAAAGTGATTGAATTTTTCCTACGAACGACCTTTTCAGATTTGGCCGATGAAATATACTGTGTCCTCTAAATCATTCAATCAATTGGAGTTTAATTTTATTGGTTCTTAAATTTAATTTTTTATTTTGCAAAAGGCTTCGGTTAGTAATAAGTTGGCGAATGAAGCAAACAAACTGGACAATCTAGACAAAACATATGTGAAACCAGCGGAGAAACAGGCAGTAAGTGTGTAACTTTTCACTGATAATTTGATTGTCATCGATTCAATGAAAGGCATGTGGATGCAAGACTTTATTCGATTTTTTTTGTGTTTTTCAGAAAGATCTGGGTAAACTTGCAAGTGATCTTCAGCAATCGGGCCAAGCCATACTGGTATGCTTAGTGATCAATAGTAACAAAATGACCGTACCGGTTTTCTGCTCCATGTTTATCGTAAGGCAACAAAAAATCACATTCTCTGATAGGACGTAAATGCGAACATGTAAAAGTTAGCACTCTTGACTAAAATACGAGCTTCCTCTCGAGCCGCCGAGCGAAGCGAATGTGCGAGAGGTCTGTGAGGGGTCTGGCACGAGAACACTCGTAGACCTCTGGCACTCACTCATTGTTCACTGACTCAAAACCCGCGGGCTTCAGCGCTCGTTCCGCAGGGCCAATGAGAGCCTACTTCTAGGCTATTCGATTTCGTAACCTCTGAGCAGCGAGGAATTCATGGTGAATTAGGTTTTACTAAACGTGATAGAAATTCAGTTTATACGTGTGGATTTATACCTGTTTTGTTCGCGTCACAATTTGTGCTGGTCGTCTGTTTGTGGCGTAGAAGCAACCTTTTCTCTTGAATTTTGTCTAAGATTTTAGTACGTGTCAATATTGTTGTACAACAAAGTAATAATTGTGTATCTTTACTTCAGAGTTCTGGCGAAAGAGTTGTTAAAAGCATAGAGGAAGTGGCGACCTTTTTACAGGATGATGCTCTGTCAATTGCTGCAAAGGTTGGTGGTACTATTTCTTGTTGCGAATATCTAGTGCTTTGTAAGAATGTAAGAGACATTTGGTATTAAGAGCCTTTCAATTTCTTGTTGGTTTCGATAACTACCAATGCCGATAAAAAAAAGTTGTTTAGTTGTTGTATTTGTATCCAAGATTGAAAAGGTGATAGTGTTTAAATTAAACACGGAAAATATTAGTAAACGAAACAGATTTTGTTGTAGTTTGTTGGAAAGACCCACGCGGCCATCCCTTCGATTTAGATTTTAAAGTATGGCTGTGGGCCCCTTAAAGTTAATGGTACTTTGGAAAATTAGACGCCGCACGGCCCTCTTGGCAAGTGAAGACGCCCTTTATTATTGTTTACGTTTTGTTTTATTTTTTTGTAGCACAGTACTCTTAAAGTTCCTAACTGCTTGTTATGTGTTCTGCTCAAAAATTTATTATACATCGCTCTTATACGGCAGCTCCTTTTGGTTCCAGTCTCAAAGATGACCACTTGCTTCTTTTTGAATATTTGCTTTACTAGGGGGTAACAATGCACTGGGACAATGTGTTTGGTAATGTGGATTATTTGTTGGACTATGTCATCCGTCAGGTACATTAAAAATTTATCTTTGGAATGAAATGTCAAATGGTTTAGTGTTTTGGATAAGCGTAGGAAACCACGACGCGAAAAGAGGAATGAAAACCGTGTTTACATACGCTCATGTAAAATGGTTTTATGGCCAATCAGAGCGCGTACTGTTTGAATTATTTTACAAAGTATTTTACACTTATGAAAATTCCTGAACGTTTTATCATGTAACTCCCTTGACCGCGTTCGACTTCACCATTGTATGAATTAGATTTTGTGTAGATTTTGAAACCTTTTAAGATTGTAAAGAACGCGGCTCAATCTCTCCGTGAATCGACATACTGTGTGCATATCAACTCAGTCTTGTGTTTATTGTATTTTAAGCTTTCATGTGTTAGGTCCTCCTTTTTTTTTTGTTTAATTTGTGGCAGTGTCTAGAAAGAGATATTAAGCTACCTCGGACACCTCATCGCAACTGATTAAATATCCTCACTCCTCCCCACATGTTGGGCTTTTAACGAGGAAACTGGACTGCACGAAGAGTATTCAGCATTGAGAGGGAAGTGGGGGGCGTAAGGTGCAGTTCTGACCTTACAAAAAAACAATAGCTTTTATATGAGAGTGGCTTTAAATTCCGTAGGTCCGATTTGACGTTGGAAAGTGTAAAGTCCTGTCAAACATATACCACGGGTTTACTGGATCTGTATGTTCTGAATATGCGGCCGGAATGGTAAGTGCAAGGAAAAGAGAAAAAATATTGCCAAGATGAGTCAGCCCTGTGTTTAAACACATGAAGTAGTCTTGAGCCTGCTATGGAGATTCTCCGACGTTCCTTACAAGTTCAAGACACCTTGCGTAGTAGCCTGCGAGCAGGCCTCATTATGAGCGCTGCAGGACGCGCTTTTTTCCGCCCGCGGGAAGATTTATTTCTCCAGCCATTTTAACCGAAAACCATTAGAGCTGAAAAATTGAACATTGTTATCAGAGATGTTATTGACTAATTTTTGTTGTTGTTATTATGCAGAATGCCTCATGGGTAGCATCTGGTCTGAGTTCTCTTGTACTCCTCGTCTCAATTATTCTTTGCGTAAAGGCGTCTAAACATTTCTTACGGGCGAAAAAGACTGGAGTTTTTAACAAACTAGGTATGTATTTGCTTCAGTCAAACAATTTCAATGGGAACCCACATGTAAACTGGCAACCGAGGTTGTGAATTGTAGAAAAGAAATGGGTGATATAAGTCAAACTATCTCTAGATCTAATTGATCCTGTCTTGGTTTGCCAAGTTTTCGCACACGATTTCAAAATATTTTTGGGCTGTTTTGCCATATTTTTTCCTTCTCCAGTGGATGATGTTTTATGAATGTCTTGTGGTGTCGCCTAGAGGACGTGCAGAACAACTTCATTCCATTTATTTTATTTCACGTCATTATGTAATTTTACTTCTTCGTCTGAAACCTCAAGGATTCACAATATGGTCATTCTTTAAAGTTAGTGTTTTATTACTAAAATCATGCAAGTTTTTAACCTAGCAGAATGCAAGTGTCTGTCTCTCATTTGATATGAATGGTGATGACAACTGCTCCAAAAGACAATTTTCATTCAAAAATAAGTATGACTGCTACGATATAGTTCACACGTGACGTCAAAAGGTGGTGAAAAGGTGGTGAAAAGGAAATAAGAACTAAACCAATGGCTCGCTCGCTAAAGGCCAAAGTTTCACTGATCTTAACTTCTTACCGTTGTGAATATGAGCTCAATCATTTCGCAATAAAACAGCCACTTTTTGAAGACAGTTCATAATAAATTAAATCCAGGATTGAAGACTCATTCTAATTTAGGTATTTCTCAAGGCGCTTGGAAGACCTTCGTCTCAATTTTTTATTTTTATTGCACTCAGAGAGCCTTGACTTAACTTAATTTAAAACATTGCTTTTTAAATCGGCAGCAAGTAAATCGCAAAGATAATGAAAATATTGTGCGTTGTTGAAGATAAGTAACAACAATTCGCCAGGACGTAAGCCGGTAGTCTGCGATATGAAAGATATTTGGATACCATCGATCTTTGAGCGCGTTGTGTTTAGTCCATTGACTTATCTGTGGTCGTGCTGTTGCGAATTTCTCAGTGGTACTGCCGTATGTTAACTCCGGCATTGCCCTTGTCCAGGCTCAGCCTAGAAATAAGCCACACGGTGTTCTGATCGGTAGCGGGTTCCTAGCGAAAATTAAATACTTTCTGGGTAGGATTGGCGGAGAAGGGAGAGGAGGGTAGGGGAGGGCAGTGGGATGGAGGTATGGGGGATGCTCATCGTTTTTTTTCCTTTTTGCTAAAACTCTCTTAACCTAATTTTCATAAACACTTTGTTTTCCAGAACCAGAGGATATGGTTCAATTGCACAGCCTCGAGGAAAGGCCGATGCATCATGCCTAGAAATTGCTTTCGCTTAGGTGCTTCAGTTAACGAAGAAATAATGGAAAAAAGAAAAAAATGAAAAAAAAAAGTGATTAAATGAAAATAAAAATAAATTTATCGAGGGTTTTTTAGTATGCAGGTTAAAATATTTTCGCGTATCCTTGGTAATGTGAATTCTGGAGCAACTAGGTCTGTATGTAGTTTTTAATGGCCTAGCTGACGGCCTTCTGGAGATGTAATATTCCACAAAATCAATAAATAATTTTGCCAACAAGGGTACAAAGCGGTTAAGCCATGAATGGGCTGTTGTGAAAATTGATGAAGGCGTTACATTTATACCGTGGTGAACACCACGCAGTTGACAGAGGAATACTGAACACAAAATCATCTGTGAGAAAAGACATTGAAATGACAATATTTTCTTTTAACTTGCTGACTTGTTTACACAGAATAAAAATATCCCGTAAAGACCAGTTAATTTTAAGAAAGTGTAAGGTAAACTTAAACATTGCCAAGTGTGAATCTTGGTACACTAATAGTATTTCTACAATTTACACAATAATGTAAATTAAGGGCCATAAGACTCCTTTTAGCGTCACGAGCAATCTTAAAGCGCGCGGGTTTCTTCAAAACAGCAGTGTTCCAATAAAAGCCTTCATTATAAACGAGTGCTACTAAAATCGTCTAAAAGTCACAAGCATACGAATCTGGTAACAAGTGGTTCTGCTGTGGGATCACATGGTTTTCAGGCGAAATGGAGGGCTAACTGTCAAAAAGGGAGGGGGAAGGGGAACACAGGAATATTACAGAGACTTGGGGGGGTTAAGTAAATTTTATCGCGACAAACCAAACTCCTCAGACCCCTCCCCGGCGATAAATAATTACCAGTCCCTCAGCTTTAAGGAATTTTCACGGTCTAATTAGGTGGTGTGGTGTTAAGGCGGCTTTTTGATATATTGGGCTTTCAGACGAGTGGCTTGAGGAAAAGGTGGCTTTCTAGGGAAAGGGAGTTCATAAAGGACTCTTTAACCCGTTTCACTCCCAAGAGTTCATTAGTAATGTACCTTACTGTCTGCTATACAATTCTTATGATGTTAGTTTGGAGAATTTGGTGTTGTATCAACTGTCAATCGCCTAATTGACATCTTTCTTTACTACTATTACTTATCTGCGTGACATATCGAAATTGTAAGGAGAAATTCTCTCCTGGTCACTCATGGGTATTAAAGGGTTAAACCTAAAATGTGACACATGATTGTTCTTCTGAACTGTCGCCCAGTTGAAATGACTACAGTATGCATTTCTTTTGTTGAAGCCCTACAAGAACAACATTTCTTAAAAACATGGAAACTAATACAGGCTTCAAATACATTTACGTTTGGCCCTGAAACGGGTTTCGAGTTGAAATAAAGCTCCAGTACTTGTATAGCAGTACTATACCATATCATTTTGTCTTACACTTCCACTTGAGAGGTTTATGTTGGAGATGATGCATAGGCGACTATCAGAAACTTAATGTCTTACAGGGAGGTTTGGAATTACGATCTGTGAAGTTCTATGGCGAGTTTACGTAAATCTTAATTAAGCGAGGAAGCAGAATTGAAGGGTTAACAGACCTCATTGTTTTACTACAGGAATTTCTGCAGATTTTCCGTCGGAGCTTCCATGGCTGGATGGGTTGGGGATCAAAGACAACTACGTCAACTTGGTCGACGTTAAGTCTTTAGGTGAAATTTGACCACAATTTACGGTACTACTATGGGATAAACTTATCTCCTTAAATCTGACGAGGATACGCATTCTCGTGAGCGTGTCCGGAGACATACGGGAAACAAGCCAAAGTTTTGCTGACTCTCTGCATGAAAAATATTTATGGAGTTAGATTATGTTGCAATCAGATTTACTTTTTTGACTGTGTTGAAACCGAAAGCGAAAAGTGAACGACTAAGAACTATATTAGAGTACCTCTGAAGATTACGATACAAGCATAACACTTGTGCACTCATTTCTGTCGCCCGGCTATTGACGGGTGCATTTATCACGTGCTCAGCTCGATTTAAAGTAGAGATTCTTTTTCTGTGAATCTTGGGAATGATTCGCGTTTTTCTGTTGTGAAGCCATACGGATAGAAAAGTTACCTTTATTTCAATAGGGCATTCCTTTCAGTAGTTACAAAGTGAAAACTTTTATATCAAGGCCTTATATCTAGTAATGCAAGTATGTACAGAGAAATAAAAACAAGAAGGAACTAGTTCATTACAAGCAAAGTAAAATTTAAATTAAAAAATCCAAAAAATGACAAATAAAAGCATTTTCTAAAGAATTTTAAGAGCTTTTTAGCTTCGATCTGCCTTGTCGCACAACAAATGACGCTCCAATCTGTTTCCAAATGGATTCACTATAATTAAAGCTCTTTTCAAACGTTGAACTTCACATGAGGCGAACTAAACTGCAATTTTGGTCGACCCCAGCGGGTAATGTTCGACCGTTGGGTCTTTCGTAGAACATAATTCGTCGAGCCAAATTTAGAGCAGCAACAACGAATGTTTCGGTCAGAGAGATTTCAAATAAAACAATTTGAAATTTAATCATTACCACGAAAAGATCGATCTTCACACGTTCTATCCGTCCGATGCAGACGGATAGAACGTGTTGGTCGATCCAAATTCAGTTGGACGAACTCAACCGATTTAAAAATCGAACTCAACTTGAACTTAATTCTCTCAGTGGACTTCTCAAGTGAAGTTCGACGTTTGAACTGGACCTTACTGAGACATTTTCCCTGTCGATTTTACCGTGTGACCGTTGCGCCTATCCTTTTAGAGGTTCTTTAATGCTTTGATCCGGCCACTAGCGACATAATGATCTTAGCCTTAAGTGGCAGAACAAGATTGTTATGTTGCACGAGGAACACATGAAGCTTGGAAACGATCCTCGAACGACGAAGAATGTCATATGCGGAATGTCCTGCGTGGCAAATTAATGGAACTAAGAAGTGCTTTTGATCTCGCACACAATGACTGGAGGTCTGTCCTTACGATTGAGTTCATGTACGCTAGATTTTGCGCTCCCACTTGGACTTGAGCTTTTATCGTGGTCATAGTCTTAGAGATTGTTCGATGATAGTATCTCTATAGCTGTGTTTTTCTTTTTTTTTTTCGTAAAGATGTATGTTTTGACGGCTTTCACGAAAGTCCGTAATTGCACGCGTGCTAGGGCGTATCTGCCAACTGATTTTTTTAAAAGTCTTTTTATAATTCCATAAATGCAAAAAAGGTCGCAACAATATGTGGTATGTCCCTTATGGGTACAAATCCTAAAGCTGCATTGCTGATGTCGGGCTGCATGATAATTTAATTTGCGGCGATGTTTTATGGCATTTAATTGAACGACAAAATCCAAGAAAAATCCTTTTTTTCCACGTTTGAGTGTCTTGCTGAAAGCATTAATAAATGGGTGGAGAGGATGGCACTAATTTGTGAAATTGTTAAAGTCAGGGAAATTTTACATTTGTTGCAGTTCGTCCACGACCATGTCTAACATCTGCATCAACGTGTAGTGAGTTCTCACCCTCCCTTCGAGGCGCGAAGGAATGGAACTGCTGACGCAACTGGTGGCTAAGTGCAGATGTGCGCAAGCTGAAGTGCTGTGCCGTGGCGAACACTGGGTAAAACGAATGACTGACACTGTTGCGTAACCTGCGGGGTATCGAACGTATTTCTTTCTTGAATCGACGGTGTCTGAATGGATAGAGAAACGGGTTCGCCAGCGAATTCAGGTTAAAACAGGTGACTGGAAGCCAACCACCAATAATGAATAAAGAACGCATGCTCGGGAATGACTCGGCAGCGTCAAGAATTTCAGAGAAGGAATATACGTAGACTAGCAGTAGAACAGTTGGTAAAGTGAATAGGATAAAATTTGATGACACCAGCACTGCTATTTTCCTCGCTAGTCTCGCTTCACGTTTAATGCCGAACTGCATGCTGGATCTCCTTGCATAGCAGAATATCAAAATGTAAAGTCCCAGACTGATAAGGTAAAGAAGTACAAATATGGCCGAGATGCTTAAAGTTATGTTAGATGTTTGTAACAGATGTTTTCCTGTATGGAAGGGCATCGTGCACTGGAACCATCTGTGATATTCCAGCTTTCTTACGCCAAACAAAGGCAAGCTCGCAAAGGTGATCGCTCCTGTCCACACAAGAATTAAAATGATGACCAAAGTTCTGGTTTTAACCTTGCCTCTGCATCTCTGGAAGTACACTATGACAAGATATCTTTCTACAGTTAGCATGAGAGAGGTGAATACAGCTGTAACCTGGCCTATAGTGAATACCATGCCCATGTATGTGCAGGTGGAGGTGTCCGTTTCCATAACAACTCGCGGCTTAACGTTTGAGTCACTGAATATGTTGTATTTGGCGATCATCACGCTGTGAACACCAATCAGAATATCGCTTAACGCCATACTGCCAACCAAGACGAATGAAATGTTATTCCTTAGCAGTCTTGACGTCATAATCACAATGAGAACAGACATGTTGAGAACAACAATCAATCCTCCTAAGGCATACTGTGAAAGGAACAGTTTTCGAGGAAAGTCGTACAACTTTGTTAAATACGGTACAACGACATCGCGGTGGTAGCAATCCGAGCTGAAGTCACAGAAGCATTGTGGCGAGAAGCCTTGTCTCACAAATTGCGCAGAAACTCCATAATTTACTGCCTTAGGGTAGTAGTAAAACTCCTCGAGAGTTACGTGACACTTCATCTCGCTTATTTCTCCTTCCCCACTCAAGCCATTTCCACTGTATTCCTCGTAATCTCCCATTTCCTCATCTCCTGACATTGTTTCATTTCCGGGAATCTTAAGGAGGTCGCAGGCAGAGCAGTGCGAGCTCCATGTAACCCCAAGAATCTCTTTGAGTTCGGGCATGTGAAGGATATGCTGATTGGGTATCCAGCCCTCGTTGCCGTTAATTTTGAGAACTTCAAGAAATGGCATGTCTCGTGTGGGATCCCCGTTCCATTCCTTCAGATTGTTGTTTTGGAGATCTCTGGATTATGAAAAATTACTTCTTTTGAATAAAATGAACTTTTGTTTAATAAAAAGAGTACTTTCTCTTTGTAACGAATAACGAACAATCAGGCTGGTACGTCATAGAAATTACTTGAAAACGAGGTAGGATTTACGTGAGATAGGATGAAGCGAAAAGACTGGATCCTTCATATTAGTATCATTCCCGAAAGAATTCCTCATATGCATGTTATTTTACGACTGTCTCGTTTTCGGAGATCTAAGGAAGACCTGAAAATAACCAATTTTTTGTTGCGATCTTTGCTTTCTTTTGGACATCTATCCGTTCACCATCAAAGACAAGCAAGCAGCGTGCACAGTTCACGGAGCATTATTCCCTGTGGATTTAATACCTACGTCCATGGGAAGGTTTCTTTAGGGATAGAGGCTGTAAGGGGAATTCAGTCTCATAACATGCCTGTCCGTTGCTCTGTTCAAGTGTTCCAGTATTTTAATCAAAAATTAGTTAGGAAAGGATTCATTAAAAAACTTACAAGATACGCAGGTTAGTCAAGCCTTTGAATGCATGTTCGTTGATGATTTCAATGCTGTTGTTTGACAAAGATCTGAAAGGGAAAATATTTCTCTTTGGTTAATTCCAAATGAGATATTCGACTCTTTGTGGAAAATACGTAAACTACGTAAAAAAATATCGCTTTGTTGCATCTGGCAGTTATAAATCAGATCAGCAAATATACTAAATAAGTAAACGTTGTGTTACTATGTTGTGAGAATCCTATGCAGTGTCATAGGGGATTAGTACAAAGTACCCGAATCCCGTCGGAATGCGTCTGTCGTGACTCATATACCATGAATTAATTGTCCCCACCTAAGGTCTTATGACGTTGATGAGGCTCAGCCAATGAAAAACAAAAAAAAAATGCTTTTACACTGCAATGAACCTCGCACAAAACATTGATCATAACGCGGGCACTTACAGAAACTCGAGGTTGTGAAGGTTTGTAAAGATTTCCCTTGGTATTACTCTGATTCCATTATCAGCAAAGGACCTGCGGATCGAAAAATTGCTGTTATATCAAACAAATCTCACTTTCGAGTTAATGACAGTGTCCTTGCGGACACCCATCATCAATGATCTTAAAAAGGCGAATTTAATAAATAATTGAACTTAGATAAGCGGACATATTACTGCGACATAACGCGGGGGCAAGTCACTTCGGCGGAAATAAGAAACTTTCGTTGGTAAATTAGATTTTGGAGGAATTACCTCGAAGTACATCTACAAGGTGCTTCTTCATCCACTGTTTACAGATCAAATGGTAATTCGGAATGTTTTTTTATTTGTAGGGGGGAGGAAAACCAGAGAATCCGGGGGAAAACACCTCCGGAGTGAGAACGCGAATTAACCATAAACTGAGACTAGTGGTGAGGAATATAAGCACCCTAATCACTGCACTGCTCCCTGCTCCGGCGCTTCGTGTTTTAAAACCGCGTGCAGTGAAGCTTTCATGATATTTCAGAGTTCTTAAAGGTGGTTGTGCTCTTAATTCAAGCCTCTTAGTCTTGCTGTCAATTCTCAATTGTTTATGGATTTCATAGAACATTCCTTGAAAATGTGCAAATCTCTCTAAATAATATGGACCATAGAAGTGCTTTAGTATTTAGTGCGACAAAACCGAGGTCATTACTATCGATGTTTACGGTTTTCAATTGATATTTTCTATTTTCAAAAGGGAAAAATTAACGGGGATAGTTCGTAAGGATTAAACTTTAATAAGAGGAAGCCTCAAAGCGTTGAATGTAGTCTAAACATTACATTTAAAAAGACATGAAACAAATTAATTACACCTATTCATTCTCCCTTGCCTGGAGCATGCAACAAAGTTTTGAGATAACTGATCTTCTTTTACGAAGCGTTCTCCATTGCAGGCTACTAACACTTAAAAAGAAAAGCAAGTCGCTTAGTCTGTATTTCTGTTCAGGAAGTGTTTCAGCCATCGCTTACATTTTATCAATTTTTTTTTCTTAACAATCATTTGCGTAGCAATGCAAGAGTGCTCTACGATACGTTCTTCGCTTTAAAGTTTCAATTACGGCATAACCGAGTTTTGATCCTCTAAATTTTTTGTTTTAAGTGTCTCACTCATTACTTACAAAAAGTGGAGTTGCCTGGAAGAGTTGAATTCTACCGGCTCCTCCAGTTTATTCACGACACATCTTCCATAGACACGATTCTTGTCATCGTGCGCGCACCAACACTGTGAAGAACACGGAGTCCAGCTGGAAAGATTCCTCATTTGCGTGATCTCTCCACGACAGTAACATCGGCAGAACACAAAAAATGCCAGTAAAAGTAGAAATGTGTTCATCCTGTATCAAGAGAAATAACCAGATTTCTTTCTTTCTGTGTTTATCACATCACCTTTGGTGTCATATGGATGCACGATGAAAACGATCGTTAGTAATATAACTACACTTGATAGGTTAAAAAAAATACAAGTTACAGTCATTCAGTATTTTTTTTTCTTTTCAGCAAAATAAATGTGTTTGTCAGGGCAGTTTGTCCTTTAATCTTACAGTTTTTACCAAAAAAATCAGGACTCAAACCGTTTAAATTAGTGCTATGATTGTTCTGGGGTAGTATGGTTATCGACGAAACATTTAAATTCGTAATATAAGTGTGTTTCATTTTAGGGATCACTGCCTATCGATTTTTGCCATCGGTTGTCTCTTACCTTGTCGAATTTGCTTGCTACTCTCCAAGAAGAAAGAAATGAACTGTATTGCCTGTTTGCAAAGCAAGGTGTTCAAATGTCTGCTGTCTATTTTCGTAGGCATTGGACAATGCTTTAATGTAAACATATTGTTAATTTGCAAGGGGAAATATGTCCTGATTTATAAGCGTGACAAATATGATTTCCCCTTGCCAAGCTATGAACAAATTTGGCTTTCAACCGAAATAATAAGAGTTTTCCTTTAAAGGCGGAAACTAGCATTTTGTTTAAGAAAACTGTATTTAAGAAAGTAAGTTATTTTAAGCCTGCTTTTAAATATTTTTTGGTGTCGCCACCACATTTTCGCCATTTTCTAGTATTATAAATGTTAATTGTTTTGCGCATCCTTTACAGTCGCCAGCGATAGAAATCTGCATCCAGGTGCAATACAGGCGATTAACGCCGTGCTCATAATACAAAATGTAGGGGTTATTTTGATGGTGCGAAGTTTGTGTGCGAAGCAATTAACAACTTGTCAAAAAATAATACAACAACTTGATGGAGGTTTTTACCTATTTGAGGGGAAGAACATCATCTGGTATCGAAACTGAATTGAAAAGATATCTTGGTTCATTTAAGTTTCGCATTTCGTATATTATACTAGGTGCGAGCGATGTTTCCGTGCTCAATAGTAAGATGAATAATGCATGAATTAAGGCTTCAGGAGATTACTTCATTATCATCAGAGGCTCTAGGAAAAGCATGGCACTCCCCTCTGTTTCAAAATTATCCGTATATAGGCAGAACAAATTAAAATTGCATGGTAGGTGGACTATTTTGGCACAAAATTATCTTGTTCTGACAAAGTAACGTTGTATTAGTCAAATATGCTTTTTGTATTCCGCGCATTAAGTGTCAGGGATTTTATCATATTTAGATTTGCTTCCCTTCTGTTTCCTTCTTAATGGTAAATTTTGAAGAGGCTCTGCTCTACAGTTGAAAAATTGCCATTGCAAATATCCTGTCTGACTTGATTTTTTCCTCTACGTTCAAAGATCATTTAAAAAAAAAATTTACATCACGATATCTGCTTATCCTAAACCTGGAACTTGAAAGGAAATCTAGATTAAAAACAGCTTGTAAAAGAGCCTGTTATATTCGACTGTCAATTGGAGCCTTAAAGGAAGGAAAGAGTAACGAATAAAAAAGTTATGGAGCCTCAAGTGACCATATTTTCATCACTACTCAACAGGAAGATAAACGAAGTTCTTTCATGACCTGGCATCCTGTCTGTCGCTTTTTAATTAAAAACGAGTTTTTGAGGCGGCAGAAGGCTCTTGGAAGACAAATTTTGGGCTAAAAATATCAATTTTTTGTTCGCGTTTAGTCCCAGCTGCTTACAAGCTGTTTAAAACTCGGCTACTATACATGATTTTTTTTCACGCGTAGATGAAAGAAAAACTAATTTTTTGCTCCCTTAACAAGTCCGGTCAACTAATGGATGCTGAACATCCGTGTTCCGACCTCAGAAATAGTTTACATTTGCAATTTTGTTTCTGAGTGAGTACTGAAAGCCTTATCAATTACATATCACACTTAAATGCTCAAAAGGAGAGCTTCCTACGCGCTCCCACAAGAAAATATATCAGCCATAAAGGAAAAAATGTTTAAGGTAACAGCGATAATATCCTGAAGATAAAAAAGCAAATTCGATCGTTTGGCATCTCAAACCTAAAGCCTCTTTTTGAGTGAACAATCATGATGGTTTTAATCAGGAGTTGAATCATAGCATTCAGTTGAATAGCTGAATTTAAATTGCAGCGGGGAAAGGTGACACTATTAGTAAGATAGCAAAGAGTTCAGGCGCAATTTTCGATTAAAAGGAATAAATCCCGATCGCTCTTTTTTACCTTAGATAACTTCTGTTGTGCTTAGGAAGACTCACCTGCAGAAAAAATGATGCGAGGTGGAATATCTTTTAGTCAAAACTCAATATATCATTGGATTTTGTGGTTATCCTGCTTAAAAAATGATTATGAAGACGTTGTCTCTGAGTTGTCTCACGGTTGCAGTTACTAATTCCCGATCCTTCGAGCACAAACTTAAGGGAATGATTTCATTAAGAATGGCCTGGTCAGCTTTATCAATCTCTTTTACAGTGATAGCTCATTCCGGTCAAAACAATTAATAAAAGTTTTTATTTATTTCCTGTTGGGTGGATGTCTGAATTTATAAATTGTTTTCGGTTTTACGACTAGAAGGAAGAGCCACCTGTAATGTTTAAATAGCTACCTATTGCAGCGAGGGGTAGTAAGAAGTTTTGTTTATCAGAGATGTAACGTTTTCCATGTTTCTCAACGATTTGTGGTTTTATTTCATTTTAAATTTGAAAGAGGATATTTTATCGTCGAGGTTTCCTCCATACCTAACTTCACCATCGTAGTTATATATTCGAGCTTTGAGGCGTTTTTTTTTATTATTTTCTTAGGATATTTTTAGAGTGCGTCAGTAACGATAACGTCGGCTCGTTTTTTTCCTTCAAAATATGGAACAAAATCAATAGTAAGGTACCAGTTTACGCTGAAATAAATATGTGTTTTTAGAACATGCATACTGCCTTTTCCTCTGTGGTTCTCTTTCTTGCTCAAATATATTTGACAAAGTCAAGCTTTATGAAATTTTGGATGATCTTCCTTTATTTTTTCATCAAAACAGGCCTAGACAAACCCCTTTCAGTTATTAAATGGCAATGTGAATGATAATATTTATTTACATAAGAAACTTTGCTGCTAGTTTCTCATCTCATTGTGGAGATAAAATTGATGGGAAAGCCATTTTCTCAAAATCTATTTGACTTGATTAAAGAGCATGAAATACTAAGCTTGTTTAATCTGGTGCTGTGTTGATGGTTACGAAGTATATATAAAAAAAAAACGTCCTTTATTAGAATTGTTCATTATTGAGATTGTTTCCCTCACTCTATTACATGTTCACGCTTATCAAAGCGAAGCTGTAAGCGTCGTTTATTTCCGGCCAAGGAATAAGTCGCAAACATTATTGCAGGCTAGGCTACATATTCGATTGGAAAAAAAGAGGGGGGAGGGGGGGTGCATAACAAGGCTAGAAACGTGTAATCACTGTAACTTCGTGCCGTTTGTGTAGTACAGCGTCCAAATTAAAAACAAATGCTTTTTAGAGTATCCCGTTGCGGTTTGGTTTTAAAGATTTGTGGATATTTCCAAATGTTTGGTTCCTAACTACACCCCGCAGGCTTAAGGAAGTTTACGACAATAATCGTGAAATAACTAAACTTCCTTTTTTTGTCAAACTTTGACATGTCCTCTCATTTAGGGTTCTCCATGTTCATGGCTTTGAATTTATTTCCGCCATAGTTATTTTGGTTTCTCTCCTTTTTTTTCTCATTTGAGGAAAACTTTTAATCCAATGTTATAAGCCCTTCAATTTGTCGAATTGATTAATAAACGTAAGTTTTTTTTTTCCCTTAAAACATAAATCCTCGGAACTAATAAGTATCGCACAAATGACAGAGCGGAGTCTCATCCGGGATAGCTTCACAATCACGACAGGATTTCGTCGGACTTCGGAAAGGCCACTTACAACAATTTGCATCAGTTGAAACACGAGGGCAAGAATCCTTTAAACGTTTTTTTGTAATCTTGATTTTTTTTCCCTTTTTCAGCATTCGTTTTCTTGTAAGTCCACCAGAACATGAAAACTCCTGTACGTGAAGCTTTCATATTGGAAGGAGGGTTTTTTTCCTTGGAAGTTTTCCAAAAGTATAGACATAAGCGAAGGTGAAGTGCGCAATTGTCGTGGATTACTCCCCAACGAAAAACCCAAGGAAGTCTGGCGACTTTACTTCATTACTCTCAGATGGCTCTGAAATGCCATTACAGTTTGCCAGAAAGCAGTATCATGGATCAAGAAATGGGAGAACGCTAACTATGAATAAGTCTCTACCTTTAAAAGAAAATAAAGGGGCTCTCTCTTTGTGAGAATGATTTAGATTAATGATAGAAGATCAAAACACATATACAATGCACCCCTATATCTTTGATGGTGTACAGGCATTACCTCCCAAGTTCTCACAGTGGAATTCGCCGAGTGAGTCAGACGAAATGTGTGAGGAAACTAATACCTGGAGTTGAATCTTGACAGCTGGTGGCCAGGCAAAACGCAGTCGTTAAAAGAGATTTTGTTTTCGAAGTTTTTCACTTTCTATTTTAGGTTGTACAAATTTTTAAAAGGCAAAGAGCAGAACTCTATCAGACAAACTGTTTTGACCACAATGTATGCTTTCCGTCAACAGATAGGTGGACACACTTTCACTGATCTAAGAGGTTCCCGAAGGCACGAAGATCCGTATGTGCGTAAACGCTCGCGACACGCGTACATCTGCCCTGCATAAGGATGTGAAGATTGAAAAATTGATATTAGAATTTCCCGTCCTAAGAGGTTAGGGCTTGCCCTTTGCTTGGAACTTTTTCTGAACATTTTTCTAAATATGTTTTTTTCCACAACCACCTCCAGTAAGGGAACACTTTGTGAATATCCATTTTCTTTCACGGTCAAATATTTTAAGAATTTCTTTCTTAAGCGAACTCGGCCATGTGACTTACCTTTTGCTACCTATG